CACCGCCACCCCACCCCCCCCCCCCCCCCCCCCCCCGATCCGCTTTTAGAGGTTCATTACTTGAAATCTACAATGACATCAAATTTAAACACGATAAACAGGTAAATGAATAATGCGGCTCAATTTTGTCCAAACATATCCTCGTAAAGCATTCCTGTCCTTTCCTATTTTTTTTTCTTTGGGGATTGGGGGCATTTTTGGTACTTAATAATATGTTTAATATCTTCTCATTCATCATTCTCTTGAGCTTGCACATTTCTAAATGTTCACGTTGAATTTTCTCGAAGCGCATACAATGGAGAATTAATTGGTGTGATCCAACTTGCTTTAGAAAGTTTAAGATAGACACATGACAAATTACAGTATAGCCCCCACATAGATCTAAAGAGAACGCTTAGTCACTGAAGACCTCACATTATTTCCTGCTTATAAATGGATTTTCATCTCAAAATAAGGAGAGTTAAGGAAATAACATGTGTGACAAATTACGAATCTTAAGTGCTGGCGGGAAAATGTGTCATCTAATTTCAATAGTCTGCAGAACATGAAAATGACAAATTTATCGCGTTAACTCGGCACTCGTAGATAATGACAGCAAACAGTAAGGGCATCTGCTCATGTGCGCTACATAATAATACACAAATTCGATGAGAATAAAGGCAACAGGGGAAGACAAAAAGTGAAACATGTTAGGATGACGAGGCGAAACGAGCGAGAAGTCTTGACAAATTGTTCGAGATAAGTGGCTACAGCGAGTAACGTCTATTTCCCGGCTTGCTGTACTGGAGTGTGGCCTATTTTTAGTGATGGTGCTCTCGAGGTTTTTGGAGTGGGGGCCGCGGCGTGAAGCCACTTGGGTTGGGCTCGAGAATACTCACTCATGGTAAATACAAGTCTCTTCCATCACTGCCTGTATCGTATCCAGCGACAGTAAATGAGAGAGAGAGAGGGGGGGGGGGGGGGGAGAGAGAGAGAGAATAGAGAAGAAAAAAAGAGAGAGAGAGAGAGAGAGAAAGAGTAGAGAGAATAGACAGAGAGAAAGAGAGTGCAGATAAAGTAAAAGAGAGAGAGAGAGAGAGAGAATAGAGAAGAAAAAAGAGGGAGAGAGAGAGAGAGAGGAAGAGTAGAGAGAATAGACAGAGAGAAAGAGAGTGCAGAGAAAGTAAAAGAGAGAAAGATAGAGAGAGAGAGAGAATAGAGAAAAGAGAGAAAGAGAGAGAGAGAGAGAGAGAGAGAGAGGCTGAGAGAAAGAGAATACAGCAAAAGAGAGGGGGAGAGAGGGTTACAAACAAGCTTCAATAAAGAGAACGAGATTGAAAGAGTGGGAAAGGGAAAGGGAAGGAGAGAAGGGAGAGAATGGGAAGGGGAGAAGGGGAGTGGGTTGAAGAAAAACGAATTCATAGAAACAGAAAAGATACAAGTATTTAGCGGATTTAGTAAGGGGCATGTGTATACACATGTCACCTGTATATTAAAGCCAACACCTGTATATATATATTTTTTTTTTAAATGACAGGCCTGATAAATAGATTTGTAGATTTATTTTAAACATTTACTTTAGTATCTGTTTAATGAATTATCCCTCAGCTTTATTTTTCAACTGAAGAATGGATCAAGAATGAACTTTAAAGCCTCTCAACGTTTACTTTGATATCTTTAAACCCTCACGTAAATATCTGACTAATGACAAAAGAAAGACAGTGCATGAGACATGTCAAGGGTTCTATATTTATGACAACTTTTGTGTTTTCTTGACTGTATACATGATCAGTCAAGAAAACACAAAAGGCCTGATAAATTGATTAGTAGATTTATTTTAAACTTTTACTTTAGTATCTGTTTAATAAACTATCCCTTAGTTTTTTTCAAGAATGGATTTATAGATGGAAGTGTTATCTTTTACCCAGGCGAAATAGCAGGCTTCAGTTCGATTTAATCAAACGTAAGGAATCGGATGAGAGCAATGGACTGGAAATTCACTCGCATTATTTTTTCTGTTTCTAATGTAGGATGTAAAATAACATTGGCGCGCGTTTCTCTCGTTTTATTTATTTAAAGTCTAGTGACATTTCTATTGTCCTTTGTAGCGTCTAGGAAGAGTGCCTCATACAAAAAAGTTAAGATGAGAAGGTGTTTGGTTTTTCTACTTTTTTCTTTCTTTCTGGAAGCCTTTAGAGTGCATCAGCGCCATATTGATTCGTATTACCCAACACCTCTTAATGTTCACCTCGAAATCACTCGCAATAAGTAAATGTCAACATTCAGTGTGCATGTGAGCGTTATTGGTGAACTAATAATTAGGAAAAAGAGAGTGAGAGAGAGACGAAGAGGGAGTGAAAGAGAGAGGGGTAGACAGGTAACTGAGGGCGCAAATCATGTTTATTTAATTATTTTTCCTTGGTATATGATCTGAATTTTATTGAGAGGACTCCTTGAAAATTAGGAAGCTTGTTTTCTTCTGAGAAAATGTCAAGTTGACATCAAGAAAAAAGCAATGGTTATTTCAGATATTCCTACGCCTTTTAAAAACTGAACAAAAATTGGAGCTTTGTTTATTCAGCTCATGTTAGTATCATGACGACTAAAAGCCAGCACGATAGCTTATTTATCTTTCTTACCTCAAAGGAAGTCTTGAGAAAATCGATGTTTCCTATTTCTATTTAATCTTAGGAAATACCAAGCAGATGCTATTGTAGAGAAATGCATTTGTTATGAATTTATGTGATCAACAGATGCACAATCCAAACAGTGCCAACGCCAATACGAGATTTAATGGACTCAAAAGTTTAGTGTTTAAAAATAAAATCGACCGATCACACCAACTTTTTATTTAGTCTGACCAAAAATAAGAGCGGGAAAAAAAATCTGAATAGTTATCGTTGATTGCAAATTCTACCCATAGTCTTGCGTTGTAATATATCAAGCACGCGTAAACCATCACAAACAAAAAAAGCTGAGAGAAGATAAGCATCTACCAAACACTAAAATGCAGCTCGTATTGAATTTCTTTCACCCATCCTTTGGATTAATCGGGAATCTACTGTATAAAGATTGAAGTGCTCAACTCAATTTATACAAAGTCGGATAATCTGTGTGCACTTTCTGATTCTGTCAAGCTACTCTGATTGCTATCTCCTTCAAAGCAAAATGCATTACAGTCGAGTGCGATTGGCTTTCTATTAGCAATTTAGATTATCTTTGGGAGATTTTTACTCCGTTGCGTTTAATGGTATAACCAATAGCTTTGCCTTTTAACATGAGAAAGGAAGTTTCCTCACCCCGAATATTTCTAGGGTAATTAGATTCGAAGCATTGTATAACTAACGTCGAGAACATGTCAAATATTCCGTATAAGCTTTGCAGTCCCCTACGTCTATTACAAGAAAAACAAATCACTCAGTTTATGAATATATCTTAAGAAAAATAAACGGAGTTAATAAGATCAAATAATTATCGTCTTTGATCAAAAACTGATTTATTTAAAACAGGTTGTGAGAAGATATAAACATTATCCATCACGAGTTATTACAATCGTTTAATGAAATGAGGTAAGAAAAAATGATTCCAACTGTGTCTATCGTTAATGGATGTAATGCAATCAAAATGCATAAAACATAAGTAATATAATTCATTTTAGGTGGAGACACACACGTAGATGTTAATTGTATACTTAACAAGTCATTTGAAGGTAACTTTGAGGTCAGTGGCGTAGCTATGGGGCGCATGGGGCACATGCCCTTCCCTCCCGACATCAAATTTCGAAACTAAAAGTATAAACGTGATGCCACTGCCCTCTGAACGACTACACCCATTGCACGCGCTACGCCACTGATTGTGGTCAGCGGGCTTGGAGCCTTATTTTAAACAAACCTTCCTGGCGTCACGCTGTTAATAGGAATGGGCCGACAAAAGTCAGGATCTGCCTTGATAGAATAGCCCCTGGATGGACTGCCTCAATTCTTCATAATCCTCTGCACTTCGAGCTAAGTCAGAAAACGAGAAAATGCCCGAGAAGATATTTGCACACACTCTACAAGTGCACGACAGAAAAGTATCAAATGTTGATACATATGTTACAGCGCGCCTTTAATCAGAGTAAAAACTTCGAAAATTCTGGTATTGAGCATCAATCTCTATGGTACAAACACGTTCCATCAACAACGTGAATGACCATTATACCGCTTATAATTGTATTTTGACCACCGCTTCATTAACGAAACGGATCATTTGTACGCATGCAAATCAAACGGGGTGTTTTGAAAGACTCTAATTTTAAAATGTCGAAAAGATAATCACTCGTATATGAATGAGGATTAAAGCAGACTAAAGGGGTTTTAAACTCCCCCCTTTTTTTCCTTAGTGATAAACATTTCGGTTTTGAAAGAATTCAGTATACTATACCACCTTTACACTTTAGTATTTACCAGTACTTTTACTAATTATACTTGACCATTTTCTCTTTAATCGAAATGCAAAGTATAACGTCTTTATCGTATGAAGATGTGAAACTATTGTTTTATACGATAATTATAGATAGATTGAATGTAATTGAAATCAGCAATATTTTGAGCGTTTTTACACATCACACACAATTTAATACGATCTGCTTTGCACATACTTCGCAAATATGATGAACCCTGAAGTTGTTTTGTAAATAATCTTAAGCTACTAAATCACATAATATTTGCAGCTTCTTTTTGAAGACATGATACGCCAATAGACATACACCCGTCCCGAATTCGTCACGCTTGTACTCAATATAGTTGTCAATCATGGTCGAAATCTGCAACTAGTCCAGACTTCTTTTAGTGATATGATTTTCGTTTTTGTGTGCATGTGTAAACATGCTTTCTTAGCTAAAACGATTTACTGAAAATTGTACACATGGTACAAAATCGATTAAATGTCCGTACCATATAAAGTAGCAGAACTTTTTAATATAACATTCTCTTTATATTGTATGCTAATATCATATTCTTATTTTTTTGGTGTCTTTTCAGGTGATGTTTTCATCATTGTCTACAGCATAGACGACAGGAACAGCTTTCAAGAAGCAATTCGCCTTCGGGAACAGATCCAAGCGACCAAGACCACGGCAAACGGTACGAAGTGCCCTCCCATGGTCATCGCAGGAAACAAGTGCGACAAGGACAACAACCGACAAGTTCCTCTGGATGAAGCTAAAGCCGCCTTCGACCAGACAAGAAGGTGCAATTTCCTGGAGACGTCCGCAAAGAAGTTCTACAACGTGGACGTCCTCTTCAGGTGTTTGTTCGAGAATGCGCGCTTACCCAGTGAGATGAGCCCGTCGCTGCATAGGAAAGTGAGTGCGAGTCACGGACCGACGTCCTTAAGGCCTACGCATATCGGTAAGCTGGCCCTGAGGAGAAGGTTGAGCGAGGCGTGCGGCATGGTGACCCCCAACGCCAGGAGACCCAGTGTCCGCAGTGATCTTCTTCAGCTTCGGCTCAAAACCATGAGGGGAAGCAGTATGGATGAGGTCGACGATGAGGATAGCGAGAGGAGCAGCATCCACAGAAAGCTAAGGAAAGCCATGTGCTGCATTCAGTAGTGACGCCATTACTGCAGGCATAGCCAGACTGATAGGGGACTAGGCCCTTCCGGATGCCTCTGAACCCCTTCGGCTATGCCACAATTGAGCGAGCGTGACTCACATTTTGAAAATCTATTTCGCGTATAGTCTGCAACAGGTGATTGTGCCGAGACCAGGTTGGATTGGACCAAAAACTACTACCATGAGTAGAAAACTTAGATATTAGGCATTTCAAGTGAGTTTGGAAAAGAGCAGGATGTGACGACTTCGCATATTCGATAGAGAATGGTTAAACAAATTATGTTCAGTGTGTAAAAAGAAAGTGAGATCAGATTGAATGTGTCTACTCATAACCAAGCTTCAGCCATTTCGTGAGGGGTATTCGACAAAGAATTAATCGAGAGGCGAATCAATGTTTTTCGAGATTGATTACGGACGATTCGTCTGTCTGGTTTTGTAAACGCGAGGGAAATCGAGGAATCCTTTGATATCGAAAAAGGCAAAAGGAACATCCGCCTCGGCGCCAAAATGTTTTTTTAATGACGCACTTTTTATGTTCAACATTAAGTAAAGATAGCGTCGTTATTTGTCTCCTTCTAAATCTGCGCATCACTCAAATTCGTCTCACTCTTCTCGATTAAATATTCACCGCCAGCGTCCCGTGTGGTTCTTTCATTATGAGCTTGTAAAATACATCACTAGTGTATTCTGGTGATTGTGGAAAATGAGACCTGTTTCATATAGTTTATATGATTTTATCGGAGATTATAAAGATGCTCAACACTGATTCAATTTCACTGAAAAAATAGCTTCAATGTTTTCGCGAGAAGTCAAACTATTAACAGGAACTCGCTTCACCGCGCTAATTGTACACAAACCTTCAACATACATTGCAATTATGTACCCAGTTTTATCCTAGAAAATATAACGTAACGACAAAGTGACATTGGTTATGAGACTTCTTTTTGTGAGAAATATAACGACAAATATGTTGGATGCTATGGATTTCATTCGCTAGCCTGGAATACGTATCAATCAGGAGTTTCTCATTACTGGTGGTCGCCAAGGCTAACTTAAAAACAAGTATTCTACGTCTATCTAAAAAGCTTTGAGGGACGATTTTCTCGACACCTGAGCAGCGGATTTTGTGAGTTTCCGTCTATGCGGAGCCAGAAGCAATTATAAAAGCAAAGATGTGAAATGGACTGAAGGTCTGAAAGATGTGAAGATGTTTTTTTGTATGTCGCCGGTGATAAAATGGTTCCGTTAGTTTTATGGAGTAAGTGAGACTGTTGAATTACACTTGAAAGCCATTAGTTTCTTCGCAATTGGGGAGACGGCTGTATTGAGTTAGAATTCGGTGAAGAAGAAGGCAGAAAGTGAAATTGTATACAAACTAAAAGTGCACTTGAAGAACGCTTGCTGTAAATAATTACAGATCATACTACAGTAAAAGAAAAAAAAACTTATGTTGCATGGTCAGCGTGAAGCATTAATTTTGCTTGAATTATTGTAGGACGGTTGGACAGCCGCCTTGACGCAGTAGACGCATTCTAGAACATTCTGAAAATGGAATGCTGTTCTTATGCAGTTGTCCACGATGCGTCGATTCGTTTGCGTTATGACCTACGCTATATAGTAGAACCAAGGGAAGTGAGCCTATATACGCCAGTATAACGCAACTTTTGATTTGTTGCTTTTGTTTCCATCTGTTATGCTATTATCAGACGATGCCGTTTTCTTACGCAGTCATGCGTCAGGCGAATAACGCCTCGTGTGCAATGGACTTTGACATATTTTTTTTTTTTTTTTTTTCTACACACAGTCATAATTTTTTGTGTCCGCCCAATTTTTAGTAGGAGGAAAGGTATTGTTATGAGTGATACGGATACAAGTTGGAAAGATAAATGAGGGAGAGAGAGAGACAGAGAGAGAGAGAGAGAAACAGAGAGAGAGAGGGGGAGACAGAGAGAGACGGAGACAGAGAGAGGTAGATCAACAGAGAAAGGGAGAGAGAGAGGGGTACAAAAAGTGTTAGAAAGAGATCCAGAGAAAGGGATACTTGAGTGTATGAAAAAGTAAAGAAAGGAAGGAAAGAGAGAAAGGGTAGTAACAATTAGAGGGTGAGAGAGGTATAATTTGGCAAAGTGATAGAAAGAAGCAAAGACAGGGTAGTGAGATCAATTAAAGGTGGGAAGAGTTAAGAGAGGATATAAAATGGACGAAATAGAGAGGATGTTACTTGTTAGAGATAGAGAGGGTGTGTGTGTGTGTGTGTGTGTGTGTGTGTGCGTGTGAAATGAAAGCATAACCAGAGGGGGAGGGGGGGGGGGCTAGTGAGGTCATGAGAGATAACCCCTCCCTCTTCTTCTTCTCTTCATTTGCCAGTTCTATGCCACCTGGAACCTAATTAATGAAACTTATAATCAGTAACAACTGTCATATTTCTATAACTGTTTGACTTACAAGACAATTTGCAAATCAATAGTCAAATTATGACATGCATGGGTGCTACTCCGGTATCGGCATTTGACTTGTAAACATTTATTGCACCCAGAAATGAAGGAAAAAAAATTATGACAATTGAAATAATGGCTCTGTTGGTATAACTGATATTAGTCAAATTATCATATAAAGACAATTCTGTTTTGCTTTGGATGGAATAAAAGGATTAATGACATCTGTCGTACAAGACATATTGTACGCTATAAACCTTCATGCATGGTTTAATGATTTATCTTGACGTCACAGTTGATGCATTGTTAATTTAATAATTATAAAACCATGGTGGTGATTTTGTGTCACAGAGTTACAGTGTAAGCGCATTGTTTTTTGTCGATGCACTTTGCACTGATGTATACAGCTGTAAATAGTCAAACAAATACTCTGTAAAGAAAAGATGTGCTTTTTTATACTCAAACGAATGAATGGTGATTTATACTTTTGTAACCCGTTGTTTCCGACTAAGTCAATTATTTTTTGTATGTATATCTTTACTAAAGGAATATGATTGTGTTATTTTTAAATTTTATTTTGCTATATTTATGTTATTATACCTGAACGTGCTATTATGGTGAGACAGATGACATTAATTGTTTTCCTAAATTGGCTGTACTGCGCATGCTCAGTTGACAAAACTTCAAGGTCAATCTCATTTATCAATCAACTTCAACCCTGAACCCAGTTCTGGTGCCCGGCCCTAACCATAACCCTACCCCTAACCTTAAACATAATTGTAAACCCTAACTCTCTGATATCTCTAAAAAAAAATATTAAAAAAACACGGAGCGAAATGTCGCCAGAGTAAAGGTCGCCGGAACAATTTTGATGTCAGATCACTCATTTTAAAGCGATTATGTTTTGTTTGAATATAATGGAATCGTAAGCATGGTAAGATCATTAAATTATCTTAACCCAATCCTTACCATAATAGAATCATTCTTTAATTGTTTTCGTATTCTACATGATTGTAAGCACGTTTAAATGTTGCTCGTATTGCCATTTTAAATCACAGTAATGTCATTTGCCATGATTTATAATTTTGTTTGCAGTTCTGGTCACATTAATTATTAATCGGCCTTAGAAGTTGTCCTTTGATATAACAAGTAGCAACTTAAAGTGTGTGACTATAACTATGGGAAAATATGTCTTGGATACACAGCCCAAAACAAATTGTTTATTTAATTCAAAATTTCGAATCCAGGAAAAAATATATTTTGCCAATGTAACGCCCTGTAACTAAGTGTGTCTCGAATGGGCACAATGAAGAGGATGCCATATGAGAGAGAGAGAGAGAGAGAGAGAGAGAGAGAGAGAGAGAGAGAGGGGGGAGATAGGAGGCAAGAAAGAGAGAGTGAGAGAGAGAGGGGAGAGATAAAGAGAGAGGGGGAGAGAGAGAGAAAGAGAGAGGGGGAGATAGGGAGCAAGAGAGAGTAAGAGAGAGGGGGAGATAGAGAACAAGAGAGAGTAAGAGAGAGAGGGGAGAGAGAGAAAGAGAGAGGGGGGTAGATAGGGAGCAAGAGAGAGTAAGAGAGAGAGGGGGAGATAGGGACCAAGAGAGAGTAAGAGAGAGGGGGAGATAGAGAGCAAGAGAGAGTAAGAGAGAGAGGGGAGAGAGAGAAAGAGAGAGAGGGGGGTAGATAGGGAGCAAGAGAGAGTAAGAGAGAGAGGGGAGATAGGGAGCAAGAGAGAGTAAGAGAGAGAGAGAGAGAGATAAAGAGAGAGAGAGGAGAGACGAGGATGGGAGCAAGAGAGTTAGAAGAGAGGGAAAAGAGAGAAGGGAAGAAGAGGATTGTGGAGAAAGGTGAAGAGAGGAGGGGAGGGGTGGGGAAAAGACAGAAAAGGAGAAGGAGATATCGAGATGGGGAATATGGATGGAGCGAAGAAGACAGAATAACTAAAGGAGAGAGGATTGAGAAACGAATACAAAGCCCAACAGATAGGTGGATAGGAGAGAGGGGGAAAGAAAGGGAAAGGGAAAGGAAGTAAGTATAAAGACACGAAGAGATGAGATATGAGAAATAGATGAAGAGAGTGGTTACATGGGAAATACAAGTAGAGTTGGAAGATCGATAATTAAATGTAAACTTGAGCAAAAGGGTTGATGAGAGAGGGTGAGAGAGAGAGAGAGGGGGGGGGGAGATAGTACTGAGTAGAGATGATGAGCGTAAATAGCTGTAAAATTAAATGTGAAATGTACGGCGTGGTTGGGGAAGGAAATGAAGTTGAACTTAGAACTATTTAGTGAATTGGCTAAGACAAATAGTGTTAAAAATCTGCGTGTGACGGTGAAGACTAAGTGTTGGTGAGATAGTTGGGGGAACATGCAGTGTCTAGAATACAATCATTGACAATGTTTACAGCACATACGATAAAGTAGATAGAGAGAGAGAGAGAGAGAGAGAGAGAGAGAGAGAGAGAGAGAGAGACAGGATAAAATTAATGGAAGAAAGGAATTGGAAGGAAATTATGTTTTAAAAATGGATATGCGATGGTGAAGGAGTATATTATTGTGCATGTTGTTGGTGTTTGATGTAGCGAAGTGAATTCAACTATTTCTGCTCAGTCGTTAAATCGAAAAAGATGTCAATTTTGTATGCACATCTTGGCATGAATGTCTCACACCGAGAGAAAATTTTCAGAGAATTTCTCTAAAATATCAGCTCATGTCGTTAAAATCACTTAATAATATTCCAGGCTTTCTCTATTCCTCTCTAACGTTGGTCCAATCTGTCATTGATTCGTACGATAGATAAATTATGTCCATCTGTAAACATTCAAATCCGATATTATAACTCCTTTGATTAATTTCTGTTTGCTGTTAACCCATATTATGTGAAGTTTGTTGTCCGTCCATGATTAATAAAAGCGTTCTTGATTTTAAAAAGACTTTTGAGTTTATATTGTCTTCATTGTGTCATTAACATGGTAAGTAATAGGAACTTTTAGATTTGCACGTCAACGGCTTTGACTGCAACGTGTGACGTCATTTTAAGGCACTGCGCATGCGTTACGTCGTCTCAGTCTGCGATCGAGAATGCGTCAACCTTGATTTTCCTAAATTTAGTACATACATACCTACATATTGATATTTATATAGCGCCTTTACATGCTCAAGGTACTAGTATGCCGCATGCGCATAAAATATACAGTTCCTCAGGTAGACAAAGGAACATCCCTTTCCTGCTATTATGTACAAAAATGTGTAGAACAGGTGTCACATGCATATTCACCTGTTCTACACATTTTTACATAATTGCAGTGAAGGATGTTCTTTTGTTGAGGGTAGAATGAGGAACTGTATATTTTGTCCTCTTTCTTTGTCCGTGATGTTCATAGTGTTACTTCCTGCATGCATGTATATCGTCGAATGCAATCTAAAAGATTTCTAATTGTAGTCAACATGGGCAGTTAAGTACGTTGACACGCATGATCAGTCGGCGTTCGTCGGGTTCTCGTCCACTCGATCTAAAAGTCCCTAATGTATGGTGTGAAACGGTTGAGACTGCTGTACCCAAGTCACATTGCCCAATAACTGACAAAATCATACCCATTCGGTGGAATGCAATGATTGATTCGGTCTGAAGTCGGTCTGGTCGTTGTGACTCGTCGCAAAAACATTCGAGAGAGAGAGAGAGAGAGAGAAAGAGAGAGAACGGGGAGGGGGAGAGGGGAGGGAAGAGATGATGGAGAGAGATATTGAGAAAGGGGAACATAGAAAGAGAGGGGGAAAGGGAAAGAGAGAAAGGGTGAGAGAGAGAGAGAGAGTGAGAGAATAAAGAGAAGTAGAAAGAGGGAAGGGGAAAGAGAAAGGGGAGGGTAGAGATGATGGGGAGAGAGATATTGAGAACGGGGAACACAAAAAGAGGGGGAAAGGGTAAAATAGAGAGAGAGAGAGAGAGAGAGAGAGAGAGAGAGAGTGAAGAGAAAGAGAAAGAGGGAAGGGAATAGAGAGATGTAAGGACATTAATACGAAAGACCCCCCCAACAAAAAACAACAACAACAACAACATGCGATGCAAAACTCAGTGTTATTTTGCTCTCTTTACAGACAAAAAAGACAAGTTTTTGCAACAGTATTTGGTTGTATCAGATAAGCCCCAAAAATCATGCGATGCAAAATCCACAGTGTTATTTGGCTCTCTTTACAGACACAAACAGACAAGTTTTTGCAACAGTATTTGGTTGTATCAGATAAGCCCAATGATTTATTTTTATTTGCAATGTGCTTATTTTCTCAATCCATCCATCTCTCGCACTCTCTCTCTCTCTCTCCTTCTCTCTCTCTCTCCCAAATCTGATATTCATTATTTTCATCAATGTTGACCATATTCATGGTGACCATATCATAATATTAACTTCTGCTCTGCAGTGTGCAGCGTGTCAACGTTGGACCCATGCAGCCCCCACCCAAAGCTTTAGCGCATCCACGGAAACTTTTTCCTTGCTACTGCAGAATCGATGTCGATCTCTCTTGGCTGTGTGTTCGTCTGCAGTTCTTGTTGGCAATGGACAGCAGGGTTAGTTGACTTCCTATTCGCCAGCCATTGTAGCCTCCTCTTTTCCCTGTCCTCATCAATACTGCTTTCTTCATCATTTGGTTGTGATTGATTCAAGTCTGTTTTGATATCATGGGAATAAACTTGGTGTGGTGCGTCAAGGTTGTTATAGTCATCCAAAAGTATCCTTTCGTTTTCGATGGGTTGGTCAATATTAACACTTGATGGTGGCGGCAACCTGCTATGTCTTCGGGTGGTCATCCTGGTTTGGTCTAATCTTTTGAACTGTTATGATAAACGAACACATACAAAAGGAATACTGGTAATAATTATACTAAAAAACAAAGAGTTGCAGATTTCGTAAAAGAAAAGTATCAAATTTTTGTAATTGAATTTTCGGGTTAAAATACCAAAATTATGTTTTACTAGTAAAGTTATTTCATAAAATTTTATCCTACCAGAAATGCCTGTACTTATATACACGATTCTCTGCGAATAGTCATTTCTAATTTGTGAACTTACATGTAAGTGTGATTGTTATTACATTTTCTATAACTTTTTAAATTCATAATCCCAAAACAGATTTAGCGAACAATGTACAATTATTTAAACCACAATTTTGAAAAACACGTTTTCTCAAACAAATCAGGTTCAATTGACTTTTTTAATCATAAGATTTCTTCAAGAAACGAAGTTTGAATGAGCAAGGGGACAGGATAAAGAACAAACCTGGAAGTATTCAAAATCTGGGCAGATGTGTATCGTTGTCGTCACATTCAAACTCTTCGTCATCCTCCTCTTCCTTCTCCTCCTTCCCATTCTCCTCCTCCTCTTTCATCTCTTCCTCGTCCTTCTCCTCGTCCTCCTTTTTCTCCTTGTCCTTCTCCTCGCCTTCGTCCTCTTCAACCTCCTCCCTTTTCTCCTCGTCTTTCGCCTCCCTGTCCTCCTTCCCATCCTCTTCTTCGTCATCCTTCTTGTCCTCTCCCTCGTCTTTGTCCTCCTCCTCCTCCTCCTCCCTCTTCTCCTCGTCTTTCTCCTCCTTGTCCTCCTCTCCATCCTCCTCCGTTTCCCCCTCCTCTTCGCTGTCCTTCTTGTCCTCTCCCTCCTCTTTGTCCTCCTCTTCCCCCTTCTGCGTCTCCTCCTCCTCGTTGTCCTCCTTCTCCTTCTCCTCCTCCTCCTCCTCCTCCTCCTCCTCCTCCTCTTCTTCTTCCTCCTCCTCCTCCTCCCCCTTCTCCGTCTCCTCCTCCTCGTCGTCCTCCTCCTCCTCCTCCTCCTCCTCCTCCTCCCCCTTCTCCGTATCCTCCTCCTCGTCGTCCTCCTTTTCCTTCTCTTTCTTCTCTTCGTCATCCTCTTCCTTCTTTAAATCTTCCTGCTCCTTCTCTATCTGCTCCCTATCAACGGAAGATTGGATCTTCAGTGTCTCCACTGCCTTCATCGCTTCCTTGTGAATGACTGATCGGCGAAGCATGTCCCGGGCCATTCTCGGCTCTTTCATCTGAGTCTTAATTATATTCTGTAGAGTTAGTTAAATATAGATATACTGAATAGATATACATATCAACCGTCTAATTCATAAGGTAGGCCTATCCGAAATGTTTATATCGATATTCATTTCTCACGAACCAGGCAGTTTTTTTTTTTTTAAACCAAAATGGTCCTTTCTATCAAGACTTTTGAAATAAATTCGGATAACAATCATTGTTATACTGTACATACCTACTGTACATGCATTATCAAAAGAGTCACCATATTTTCGTTCAATTTGTTTAGCTAATCTTATAACCACTTTTCAAAAAGTTTGAAGAAGCCAAGGACAAACCTGGAAACAGCCTAAATCGGGCACCTCTGTAACTTTGTCATCACACATTTCCTCCTGCTCGTGCTTCTCCTCCTCCTGCTCTAGCTCCTGCTCTAGCTCCTGCTCTTGCTCCTCCTCCTGCTCGAGCTTCTGCTCCTCCTCGTCCTCGACCTTCTGAGCGTCATAATCGATGTTGTTGAGAACGACGTCAAGAAGCCAGATTGCAACTTCCCTGGCAGGCGATTTGTCCTTTGATTCGGTTTCCTTCAGCTCGGTAGTATCATCCCCCGTCAAAGGCTTCTCGCCATTAGTCTGGATGTCTTCAGACTCTTCATCGTAGAATGGATGGCTCTTTAGTGATGCAACCATTCTCCTGGCATCCCTTTGGATGATGGACCAGTGGAACCTGTCACGGGCCAGTCTGAGCTCTGTCATCTGAAGTTCTGCAATATCCTGTGAAATAACATATTTGAAAGGTCATCATAACTTATTAGAATTACATTTAAAGAATTAGCCATACGAGCACTTGATTAAATAAATTGTCTTTTTCTATAACTTACGATTTCTTACGATTTGAATAAGTCTGTGAGACATGAGAGATTTTAGGACCGCTTTTCATGATGTTTAGTTAATCATCTTTTTAACCAGTATCATCTCTATTTTTTCACGTGAGAATGGTTGAAACGGGCTAAATAATGTTCTTGAAACAGGATAAGAACGAGACCGCTGTTTTGACGTCCCTCCACCAAATATATATATCAAAAAATGGGAAAAAGAAGAGCGGGAGAGTGAAAAAAGGTAGGAAAAATAGAGTAAAAAAGAAAGAAAGGGGTAAGAAAGAAGGAAGAGGTAAGAAAGAAAAGACAGATAGAGAGATTAGAGAAGGGAATGAAGGTAACATACCCTCAGAAGTTGCATTCTCTTTGCCAGGGCATAATCATCAACTGATTTCTCCTGTTTGCTGTCATCAGCATCACTCTCTGTCTGTCCGGCTCCCAAATCTAAGACCGCAACGGCACCACCTTGAGAACAAGATTATTCAAACTCTCTTACATTGTCCGATTATAAGGTCGATTGGTCTTAAAAGTGAAAAAAATTATTTTAAAAAATAGGGGGGGGGGGGGACTTTGACTATACAATTGGCAAGTTTGTGCAATATGAAAATTGTTATCGCCAATTCTGTTTGTGAAAATATACAATTTTCTTATTAAGAAGTTGGAAAAATTACCTTGAATCGCTATTTGCTTTTTAACTGATTTCTACTTTTTGAAGAAAGAACCCTTTTCTTGGCAGTGGGTATGAAAGTTAGATACTAATATTACTTCTTTGGGGGTACCCCCTTCCTTTTTCCCTCTCCCTCCTCTCTCTCTCTCTCTCTCTCTCTCTCTCTCCAACCCAATCTTCCCCATTTGTAGTAAACTATAATTCAGTAATCGTTTTATATATCTATATATCATGAACTTCGAATTGTCAAGTTGCATTTCATACCGTTTCCAATCTTTTCGAAAGATTTAATCTCTTCGACGATGTCCAGCTTGAATCCAGTACTTTGGATTTCATCAACGTCGTCGAAGACGTACCCGTCCTCGTTTTCATCCTGATGATGAACTGGTTGGCTGCGTATGCACCCCATTTTTATTCAAAGCAAACAAAGCAAATTCGAATACTAAGTAAAGAACTCAATATACCGATGATATTCGCAAGTGATTAAATAGAACACTGGTCATACAGTAAGTAAACAAAGTAAATCACCATACACACAACGCGCGACCTAGCGCATTCAGTCTCTGACGTCATAATGCATGCGCATCCATGCTTGTGAAGTTTTAGATGATTTGGTGTTATTGTAAAAGAACGGCGGTAGATTTAAGCTTTTTACCAAATATCTTTCCCCTCGAATATCACAAAGATTTAATTTTTAATCTAGCATTTTATTATAGTTTTTGCAAATTATACATCATCAAAATGGAGGGAATAGTACATTATCAAGATATCATACTGAGAGATGATACTAGGAAATTTTGGAAGGGGTTGGGGCATCCTTTCAGAAAATGTTACAGGGGGATATTCAAATAAGTTTACATGTGGGAGGGGCTTCGTCACCCTGGGCAACGTTTGGTATTTCGATTTCGATAAGGCATGTTATGATGCACAGCTGTCCATAGCTTTGAAAGCAATTCATATTTAAGACACTGTATAATGATGTACCTAGTGTGGATATGAGAGACAGGGTCCCCTTCCCACCAATGAACAAAAAGACTTTTGAATACTTTTGAAAATACTCAATATTATATCAACATTTTTCTTTTTCTCCAATATCCTCTTCAGAGGTAGACCTATCCATGTCATGAAACATTTCATATAGATCAGCGATGCACACAATTTATAACCATGCAGCCTTATTAATGTTTTTCTTGTTCTAAAGGTTTTTATCACAGTTTAGATTTTATAATAACTTAACAAATAGGCTGAAGATCAGAAGAGGCGCGATAGCTCAGTCGGTAGGGCAGTGGCATCGAAACCAAGTCGATGTGCTAGTGCCCTTTGGTAAGGCATTAATCCTCATTACTAGGTCCCTCGGAGAGGACCTAAAGCCGTCGGTCGTCTGGTTGCTTACTAACAAGCATTTATGCTTTCTTAGCAGTCAGGTAAAATACCCACCACCACCACCACCATATCATGCAACAACACGAGGAATATGAACTGTCACATTTTATATTGTATTTCAATTTTCATATGAGTTGTTAATACTGTTTGACACAACACATGAGTCTTTCAATTTATTTATGTTAAGGCCTAATTTGGAAGCTTTTGAGTAATAAAAAGTTTCGCGTTTCCATAATCTCAAACTCATTATATAGTTGGGTTTTTAAAGTAAAAAAACAAAAAATTTACAATCACATGGGTGGTAATTAAATGAGCACTATTTTTTGTCCTCTTTCTTCCAAATTCGTGAGAAAATATATTAAGTGCCGAATCAACCCCCCCCCCCCCCCCCCTCTTGCGCCAGGGGGAGGGGGCCCGTCTTCTTTTTTTTTTTTTCTTTTTTTTAACCTGTTTTGGGGCCAGGGGTGGGGCCCGGCTCCCCCCTTTGATCCGCTACTGCTATAAGGTATATTTCAATGTTTAACTATTTAAATAGGGGGAGGGGGATACCTATCCTGCACAAATCCCAGGTCATTTTCTCATTTGGAAGACATGTGATCAATGATATATCGTAGATGGCGGAATGCCAGTTTGGAAAATAAAGATCATTGAGTGAGTAATAATAGCCTACAAACAAGAATATGCCGACTTATGTATCCTTACCAATGTATTTCAATTAATTTCATGACATTCATACCGACCCCCTCCTCCCTCCTTTTTTGTTTACATGCTGGGGTTATATTTACCCTGGGTTGATGAAAAAACATAACTATTTGGCTCAATTAATTTTTTTCTTCTCGATTTTCAGTCATATAATTTAATGCAGAACTAACCCCTTGCAAATTTTGTAAAAAAGTGGTGTTTTTCAATTTAAATGGAATTTTACTAAAAATCTTCTTTTTCGATATCCTACGGTTACTCTTATCCTGGATTGAAGGGATAAAAATGCTGAATTAAACCCTTGCAGTTTCCGCCAAAATGTTGCGCTTTTCATTATTTATTTCATCCTCTTCTCTAGGAGAGGGGGGGGGGGGGAGGTATTTATTCTACTTGTATCTAATTTGTTCCGTTATGTTTGTTAATTATGTGTTTGTTTGTTTGTTTTTTCCTCATATGTCAACTTTTAATGAATCAAATGAGTTTGAAAATGAATCATCCAACTTCTCGCTCTCTCTCTCTTTCTGTACCAGCTCTCTCAGGTTTTGTATCCCTCGTTATATTTTGTTTTACATGTATCTCTCGTTTGCTTTCTTCTGTTTTCTCTCTCCCCCTATGCCTCCTCTCATTTAGTGTTATATCGACAACGAAATTAAAAAAAAAACCCTACTCCCTCCACATTGGCCCAAATGACCCATCTGCCACTGAAATATAGAAGAGAGACAGAGATGGTGAAGGAAGGACGAGACAATTTTAAGAGAGAGAGAGAGAGAGAGAGAGAGAGAGAGAGAGAGAGAGAGAGAAATAGTGGAGCGAAAGTGTCGGGTGTAAACTAAGGCATAAAACTACATAGGCCTAGTTTTGGTATGGGGTCATGAAAAAATGAACATAATTGGAAGCATATGCGATTTTACAATATTCAATGATCGATGTCGTGGTTGAAATCGAGTCTAAAGACATAGTGATAAAATTGAAAATAATAAACTCAGACTGTTGTATAGCTCCCTCTCAAGAGTCAAGACTGATATTACTTTAGCTTTAAAACAATGTTTCTTGACTACAATCGACCGATTTGTTATTCCCGTTTGGAAATTAAATATAAAACCTGCATATTCTGAGATTTCCATGTTCACAGCTAATACGAAAGACCCCCCCCCAAAAAAAAAAAAAAAACAACAACAACAAAAACAACAAAACAACAACAACAACAACAACAACAAACAAACAAACATGCGATGAAAAATTCACTGTGTTATTTTGCTTTCTTTACAGACACAAAAAAAAACAAGTTTTTTGCAACAGTATTTGGTTGTATCAGATAAGCCCAATGATTTATTTATTTTTGTAATGTGCTTATTTTCTCCATCCATCCATCTCTCTCTCTCTCTGTCTCTCACTCCCAAATTTGTTGTTCATTATTTCCATCAATGCATTAATGACCATGGTGACCATATCATATGTTAACTTCTGTTTTGCATTGTGCAGCGTGTCAACGTTGGACCCAGCCCCCATCCATAGCTTTAGCGCATCCACGGGAATTTTTTCCTTGCTACTGCAGAATCGATGTCAATCTCTCTTGGCTGTGCGTTTGTCTGCAGTTCTGTAGGGGAGGCGCGATAGCTCAGTCGGTAGAGCAGTGTTCTCGAATTCCGGTGACCTGGGTTCGAAACCAAGGCGATGCGCAGATGCCCTTTGGTAAGGCGTTAATCCTCATTACCAGGTCCCTCGGAGAGGACCTAAAGCCGTCGGCCGTCTGGTTGCTTACTTACAAGCATTTATGCTTTCTTAGCAGTCAGGTAAAATAACCACCACCATAACCAGTTCTTGTTGGCAATGGACAGCAGGGTTAGTTGATTTCCTATTCGCCAGCCATTGTAGCCTCCTCTTTTCCCTGTCCTCAACAATATTGCTTTCTTCATCATTTGGTTGTGATTGATTCAAGTCTGTTTTGATATCATGGGAATAAACTTGGTGTCATCCAAAAGGATCCTTTCGTTTTCGATGGGTTGGTCAATAATAGCACTCGATGATGGCGGTAACCTGCTATGTCTCCGGGTGGTCATTCTGGTTTTCTCTAATCTTTTGGACTGTTATATGGTAAACGAACACATACAAAAGGAATGCTGATAATTACTTTAGTAAAGGCAAAGACTTGCAGATTTCGTGAAAGAAAAGTATTACATTTTTGTAATTGAATTTTCGGGTTAAAATGCCAAAATTATGTTTTACTAGTTAAGTTATTTCATAAATTTGATCATACCAGAGCTGCCTGTACATATATACACGGTTCTCTGCGAATAGTCATTTCCAATTTGTGGACTTTAGTGTGATTGTTATAACATTTTCTATAACTTTTGAATTCATAATCCCAAAACAGATTTAACGAACAATGTACAATTGTTTAAACCACAATTGTGAAAAACACATTTTCTCTAACAAATCAGGTTCAATTGACTTTTCTAATCATAAGATTTCTTCAAGAAACGAAGTTTGAATGAGCAAGGGGACAGGACAAAGAACAAACCTGGAAGTATCCAAAATCTGGCAGATGTGTATCGTTTTCGTCACATTCAAACTCTTCGTCATCCTCCTCTTCCTTCTCCTCCTCCTCAATCTTCTCATCCTTCTCTTTCATCTCCTCCTCGTCCTTCTCCTCGTCCTCCTTTTTCTCCTTGTTCTTCTCCTCGCCTTCGTCCTCTTCCACCTCCTCCCTTTTCTCCTCGTCTTTCTCCTTCCTGTCCTCCTTCCCATCCTCCTCCTCCTCCTCCTTCTTCTCCTCGTCTTTCTCCTCCTTGTCCTCCTCCCCCTCCTCATCCGTTTCCTCCTCATCTTCGCTGTCCTTCTTGTCCTCTCCCTCCTCTTTGTCCTCCTCTTCCCCCTTCTCCGTCTCCTCCTCCTCGCTGTCCTCCTTCTCCTCCTCCTCCTCCTCTTCCTCTTCCTCTTCCTCCTCCTCCTCCTCCCCCTTCTCCGTCTCCTCCTCCTCGTCGTCCTCCTCCTCCTTCTTCTCCTCCTCCTCCTCCTCCTCCTTCTCCGTATCCTCTTCCTGGTCGTCCTCCTTTTCCTTCTCTTTCTTCTCTTCGTCATCCTCTTCCTTCTTTAAATCTTCCTGCTCCTTCTCTATCTGCTCCCTATCAACGGAAGATTGGATCTTCAGTGTCTCCACTGCCTTCATCGCTTCTTTGTGAATGACTGATCGGTGAAGCAAGTCCCGGGCCATTCTCGGCTCTTTCATCTGAGTCTTAATTATATTCTGTAGAGTTCGTTAAATATAGATATACTGAATAGATATACATATCAACTGTCTAATTTATAAGTTGGTAGGCCTAACGGAAATTTTTATATCGATATTCATTTCACACGAACCAGGCAGTTTAAAAAAAAAATAAATTAAATGGTCCTTTCTAACAAGACTTTTGAAATAAATTCGGATAATAATCATTATAATTGCTATACATGTCCATACTGTACATTTACTATTAAAAGAGTCACCGTATTTTCGTTCAATTTGTTTAGCTATTCTTATAACCACTTTTCAAAAAGTGTGAAGAAGCAAAGGACAAACCTGGAAATAGCCACAATCGGGCACCTCTGTATCGTTGTCGTCACACTTCTCCTCCTGCTCTTGCTCCTCCTCCTGCTCCTGCTCTATCTCCTGCTCTAGCTCCTGCTCCTCCTTGTCCTCGACCTTCTGAGCGTCATAATCGATGTTGTTGAGAACGACGTCGAGAAGCCAGATTGCAACTTCCTTTGCAGGCGATTTGTCCTTTGATTCGGTTTCCTTCAGCTCGGTAGCATCATTCCCCGTCAAAGACATCTCTCCATTAGTCTGGATGTCTTCAGACTCTTCATCGTAGAATGGATGGCTCTTCAGCGATGCAACCACTCTCCTGGCATCCCTTTGGATGATGGACCAGTGGAACCTGTCACGGGCCAGTCTGAGCTGTGTCATCTGAAGTTCTGCAATATCCTGTGAAATAACATATTTAAAGGTAATGATACATTATCGAATTAAAACTTTAAAAAATAGCCATACGAGCACTTGATCAATTAAAATTATCTATTTCTATAACTTACGATTTCTTATGATTTGCATAAGCATGTGAGAGCAGAGATTTTAGGACCGCTTTTCACGGTGTTTAGTTAATCGTCTTTTTAACCAGTATCATCTCTATTTTTTCACGTGAGAATTGTTGAAACGGGCTATATAATGTTCTTGAAACAGGATAAGAATAAGACCGCATTTTTGACGTCCTCCACAAATATATATATATATCTAAAAATGGGAGAAATGAAGAGTGGGAGATTGGAAAAAAGGTAGAAAAAATAGATTAAAAAAGAAAAAAAGGGAGAACAAAAGAAGGAAGAGGTAAGAAAGAAAAGACAGAGAAAGAAAGTAACAGAAAGCTATGTAGACAGAGGAGGAGGAAGATGGACAGTGACGTGACAGAACAGAAATGGAGAAAGAAAGAACAAGAGATTAGAGAAGGGAATGAAGGTAACATACCCTCAGAAGTTGCATTCTCTTTGCCAGGGCATAATCATCAACTGATTTCTCCTGTTTGTTGTCATCAGCATCACTCTCTGTCTCTCCGGCTCCCAAATCTAAGACCGCAACGGCACCACATTGAGAACAAGATTATTCAAACTCTCTTACATTATCCGATTGGTCTTAAAGTAAAAACAAGTTATTAAAAAATAGGGGGGGGGGGGGGCTTTGACTATACAATTGACAAGTTTGTGCAATATGAATACTATCATCGCAAATTCTTTTTGGTAAATGTAAAATTTTCTTATTAAGAAATTACTTTGAATTGCTATTAGCTTTTTAGCTGATTTCTACTTTTTGAAGTGGGTATGAAAGTTTGATACTAATATTACTTCTTTGGGAGTACCCCCTTTCTTTTTCCCCTCTCCCTCCTCTCTCTCTCTCTCTCTCTCTCTCTCTCCAACCCAATCTTCCCCATTTGTACTGAACTATAATTCAGTAATCGTTTATATATCTATATATATCATGAACTTCGAATTGTCAAGTTGCATTTCATACCGTTTCCAATCTTTTCGAAAGATTTAATCTCCAGCTTGAATCCAGTACTTTGGATTTCATCAACGTCGTCAAAGACGTACCCGTCCTCGTTTTCATCCTGATGATGAACTGGTTTGCTGCGTATGCACCCCATTTTTATTCAAAGCAAATAAAGCAAATACGAATACTAAGTAAAGAACTCAATATACCGATGATATTCGCAAGTGATTGAAATGAATAGAACACTGGTCATATACAGTAAGTAAACAAAGTAATCACCATACACACAACGCGCAACCAAGCGCATTGTATCTCTGACGTCATAATGCATGCGCATCCATGCTTGTGACGTTTAAGATGATTCGATGTTTATAAAAAGAATGGCGTAGATTTAAGCTTTTTAGCAAATGTCTTTCCTCTCGAATATATCCCCCCAAAAAATATTTTGAACCTACCATTTTATTATAGTTTTTGCAAATTATAATACATCATCCTAATGGAGGGAATAGTAAATTGTCAAGATATAAACCAAGAGATGTTACTAGGAAATTTGGAATGGGTTGGGGCATCCTTTCAGAAAATGTTACAGGGGGATATTCAAATAAGTTCATGTGGGAGGGGCTTCGTCACCCTAGGCAACGTTTGGTATTTTGAATTAGATAAGGCATGTTATGATGCACAGCTGTCCATAGCTTTGAAAGCAATTCATATATAAGACACTGCATAATGATGTACCTAGTGTGGATATGAGAGACAGGGTTCCCTTCCCACCATTGAACAAAAAGACTTTTGAATACTTTTGAGAATATTCAATATTATATCAACATTTTTCTTTTTCTCCAATATCCTCTTTAGAGGTAGACCTATCCATGTCATGAAACATTTCATATAGATCAGCGATGCACACAATTTATAACCATGCAGCCTTATTAATGTTTTTCTTGTTCTCAAGGTTTGTATCACAGTTTATTTTTTATAATGACAAGGTCAATACGAGGAATATTTACTGTCACATTTTATATTGTCTTCCAATTAGTTTATGTTAAGGCCTAATTTGGAAGCTTTTGAGTAATAAAAAGTTTCGCGTTTCCATAATCTCAAACTCATTATATAGTTGGGTTTTTAAAGTAAAAAAACAAAAAAATTACAATCACATGGGGGGTAATTAAATGAGCACTATTTTTTGTCCTCTTTCTTCCAAATTCGTGAGAAAATATATTTAGTGCCGAATCAACCCCCACCCCCCCCCCCCCCCCCCCTCTTGCGCCAGGGGGAAGGGGCCCGTATTCTTCTTTTTAAAATTTTTTTTTTACCTGTTTTGGGGCCAGGGGTGGGGGCCCGGCTCCCCCCTTTGATCCGCTACTGCTATAAGGTATATTTCACTGTTTAACTATTGAAATGGGGGAGGGGGATACCTATCCTGCACAAATCCCAGGTCATTTTTTTCTCATTTGGAAGGCGCTTTGAAGTGATTAATGACATATCGTAGATGGCGGAATGCCAGTTTAGGAAAGGAAGATCATTGAGTGAGTAATATTAATAGCCTTTACAAACAAGAATATGCCGACCTATGTATCCTTACCAATGTATTTCAATTAATTTCATGACATTCATACCGACCCCCTCCCCCCTCCATTTTTTGTTTACATGCTGGGGTTATATTTACCCTGGGTTGATGAAAAAACATAACAATTTGGCTCAATTGATTTTTTTTTCTTCTCGATTTTCAGTCATATTAATGCAGAACTAACCCCTTGCAAATTTTGTAAAAAAGTGGTATTTTTTCAATTTAAATGGACTTTTACTAAAAATCTTCTTTTTCGATATCATGCGGTTACTCTTATCCTGGATTGATGGGATAAAAATGCTGAATTAAACCCTTGCAGTTTCCGCCAAAATGTTGCGCTTTTCATTATTTATTTCATCCTCTTCTCTACGAGAGGGGGGGGGGGGGGGAGGTATTTATTCTACTTGTATCTAATTTGTTCCGTTATGTTTGTTAATTATGTGTTTGTTTGTTTGTTTTTTCCTCATATGTCAACTTTTATTTTAATGGAGTAAATGCCCGAGTAAATGAGTTTGAAAATGAATCATCCAACTTCTCGCTATCTCTCTCTCTCTCTCTTTCTGTACCAGCTCTCTCAGGTTTTGTATCCCTCGTTATATTTTTTTTTACATGTATCTTTCGTTTGCTTTCTTCTGTTTTCTCTCTCCCTCTATGCCTCCTCTCATTTAGTGTTATATCGACAACTAAATTAAAAATATTTTTAAAAAAACCTACTCCCTCCACATTGGCCCAAATGACCCATCTGCCACTGAAATATAGAAGAGAGACAGAGATGGTGAAGGAAGGACGAGACAATTTTAAGAGAGAGAGAGAGAGAGAGAGAGAGAGAGAGGGGGAGAGTGATAGTGTCGGATGTTAACTAAGGCATACAACTACATAGGCCTAGTTTTGGTATGGGGTCATGAAAAAATGAGCATAATTGGAAGCATATGCGATTTTACAATATTCAATGATCGATGTCGCGGTTGAAATCAAGTCTAAAGACATGGTGATAAAATTGAAAATAATAATCTCAGACTGTTGTATAGCTCCCTCTCAAGAGTCAAGACTGATATTACTTTAGCTTTAAAACAATGTTTCTTGACTACAATCGACCGATTTTTTATTCCCGTTTGGAAATTAATTATAAAACTTGCATATTCTGAGATTTCCATGTTCGCAGCGACCATGGAATGGCCTTAGGCGCTATTTGAAATATTTAAAATTTACCGGGAAGACTGGTAAATTGTTATTATTCAATTTCTCGAAAGCAGAAGTTTTTAAGGGGCTAAAATTTCTAGTGCTTATAATACATCCACAGGAGCATCCAAATGAATAAGAAAATTAAAGAATTACTATCCATTCAATTTTCAAAATTTTCCAAAACTTTGCATTACCTTTAGGTAAAAGTTCGCCAACATCCGATCAAACCGCGTCTTAATTTCAATATACGAGTTCCAATAGGATATCGGCGACTTCCTATAAGGCAGGGGCGTATCCAGCCGGCGGCAAGGGAGGAGCCAAAGAGGGGGCCCAATTCGTATGAACATGTTTAGATATTTTTGTTTCTTGGTTCATTTCTGTGACGTCGAAGCTCATTGGACATTCATTCCATAACTCGATGTTAATACGAAAGAACTCCCCCCCCAAAAAAAACAAAAAAAACAACAACAACAAACAAACAAACAAACAAACAAAACAACAACAACAACAACAAACAAACAAACAAACAAACATGCGATCCAAAATTCACTGTGTCATTTTGCTTTCTTTACAGACACAAAAAACAAGTTTTTTGCAACAGTATTTGGTTGTATCAGATAAGCCCAATCATTTATTTATTTTTGTAATGTGCTTATTTTCTCCATCCATCCATCTCTCTCTCTCTCTCTCTCTCTCACTCCCAAATTTGTTGTTCATTATTTTCATCAATGCATTAATGACCATGGTGACCATATCATATGTTAACTTCTGTTTTGCATTGTGCAGCGTGTCAACGTTGGACCCAGCCCCCACCCATAGCTTTAGCGCATCCACGGGAATTTTTTCCTTCCTCCTGCAGAATCGATGTCAATCTCTCTTGGCTGTGCGTTTGTCTGCAGTTCTGCAGGGGAGGCGCGATAGCTCAGTCGGTAGAGCAGTGTTCTCGAATTCCGGTGACCTCGGTTCGAGACCAAGGCGATGCGCCAATGCCCTTTGGTAAGGCATTAATCCTCATTACCAGGTCCCTCGGAGAGGACCTAAAGCCGTCGGCCGTCTGGTTGCTTACTAACAAGCATTTATGCTTTCTTAGCAGTCAGGTAAAATAACCACCACCATAACCAGTTCTTGTTGGCAATGGACAGCAGGGTTAGTTGATTGCCTATTCGCCAGCCATTGTAACCTCCTCTTTTCCCTGCCCTCATCAATACTGCTTTCTTCATCATTTGGTTGTGATTGATTCAAGTCTGTTGTGATGTCATGGGAATGAACTTGGTCCGGACTGTTAAGGTTGTTATAATCATCCAAAAGTAACCTTTGTTTTTCGATGGGTTGGTCAATATTAACACTTGATGGTGGCGGCAACCTGCTATGTCTTCGGGTGGTCATCCAGGTTTGGTCTAATCTTTGGAACTGTTATAATAAACGAACACATACAAAAGGAACGCTGATAGTTAATTATTATTAAAAGCAAAGACTTGCAGATTTCGTGAAAGAAAAGTATGCAATTTTTGTAATTGAATTTTGGGTTAAAATGACATAATCATGTTTTACTAGTAAAGTTATTTCATAAAATTTGATCCCACCAGAACTGCCTGCACTTAAATATACACGGTTCTCTTCGAATAGTCATTTCCAATTTGTGAACTTAAGTGTGTTTGTTATTACATTTTCTATCATTTAAGTGTGATTGTTATTACATTTTCTATAATTTTCTTAATTCATAATCCCAAAACAGATTTAACGAATAATGTACAATTGTTTAAACCACATTGTGAGAAAAAAAACTCTTTTTCTCGAACAAATCAGGTTCAATTGACTTTTCTAATCATAAGATTTCTTCAAGAAACGAAGTTTGAATGAGCAAGGGGACAAGATAAAGAACAAACCTGGAAGTATCCAAAATCTGGCAGATGTGTATCGTTGTCGTCACATTCAAACTCTTCGTCATCCTCCTCTTCCTTCTCCTCCTCCTCTTTCATCTCCTCCTCGTCCTTCTCCTCGTTCTCCTTTTTCTCCTTGCTCTTCTCCTCGCCTTCGTCCTCTTCCCCCTCCTCCTTCTTCTCCTCGTCTTTCTCCTCCTTGTCTTCCTCCCCATCATCCTCCCTTTCCTCCTCCTCTCCGTCGTCCTTCTTGTCCTCTCCCTCCTCTGTATCCTCATCTTCTTCCTCCTCCGTCTCCTCCTCCTCGTCCTCCTTTTCCTTCTCCTCCTCCTCTTCGTTATCCTCCTCCGTCTCCTCCTCGTCCTCCTTTTCCTTCTCCTCCTCCTCTTCGTCATCCTCCTCCGTCTCCTCCTCGTCCTCCTTTTCCCTCTCCTCCTCCTCTTCGTCCTCCTGCCCCTCCTCCTTTTCCTCCTCCTCTTCCTCCTCGTCCTCCTCCTCCTCCTCCTCTTCCTCCTCCCCCTTCTCCGTCTCCTCCTCGTCGTCGTCCTCCTTTTCTTTCTCCTCCTCCTCTTCCTCATCATCTTCCTTCTTTAAATCCTCCTGCTCCCTCTCTATCTTCTCCCTATCAACGAAAGATTGGATCTTCAGTGCCTCCACTGCTTTTATCGCTTCCTTGTGAATGACTGATCGGCGAAGCGTGTCCCGGGCCATTCTCAGCTCTTTCATCTGAGTCTTAATTATATTCTGTAGAGTTAGTTAAATATAGATATGATGAATAGAAATACATATCAACCGTCTAATTTATTAGGTAGGCTTACAGGAAATATTTATATCAATATGTATTTCTCACGATCGCACCCGGAAGTTTTTACTGAAATGGTCCTTTCTATTAAAACTTTTGAAATAAATTTGGATAACAATCATTATAATTGTTATACTGTACATACTGTAAAAGTATTTTCAAAATTATTTTCGTTCAATTTGTTAAGCTAATCTATTAACCACTTTTCAAAAAGTTTGAAGAAGCAAAGGACAAACCTGGAAATAGCCAAAATCGGGCACCTCTGTATCTTTGTCGTCACACTTCTCCTCCCCCTCCTGCTCTTGCTCCTCCTCTTGCTCGTCATCCTCCTCGACCTTCTGAGCGTCATAATCGACGTTGTTGAGAACGACGTCAAGAAGCCAGATTGCAGCTTCCTTGGCAGGCGATTTGTCCTTTGATTCGGCTTCCTTCAGCTCGGTAGCGTCATTCCCCGTCAAAGACACCTCTCCATTAGTCTGGATGTCTTCAGACTCTTCATCGTAGAATGGATGGCTCTTCAGTGATGCAACCACTCTCCTGGCATCCCTTTGGATGATGGACCAGTGAAACCTGTCACGGGCCAGTCTGAGCTGTGTCATCTGAAGTTCTGCAACATCCTGTGAAATAACATATTTGAAAGGTAATGATAACTTTATAGAATTATATTAAAAAACTAGCCATACGAGCACTTGATCAATTGAAATTGTCTTTTTCTATAAATTTCTTACGATTACTTACGATTTGCATAAGTCTGTTAGATAATTATGAGAAATTTTAGGACCACTTTTCACGGTCTTTAGTTAATCATGTTTTTAACCAGTATCATCTTTACTTTTTCACGTGAGAATTGTTGAAACGGGCTAAATAATGTTTTTTGCTTAAAACAGGATGAAAATAATGCCGCTGTTTTGACGACCCCCACCAAAAAATATAAATCTAAAAATGGGAGAAATGAAGAGCGGGGGAGTGAAGAAAAAAAGTAGGAAAAATAGAGTGAAAGAGAAAGAAAGGGAGCGAAAAAGAAGGAAGAGGCAAGAAAGAAAAGACCGATAAGTCTTTGGCAGTGAAAGGAACAGAAATGGAGGAAGAAAGAACAAGAGATGAGAAAAGGGAATGGAGATAACATACCCTAAGAAGTTGCATTCTCTTTGCCAGGGCATAATCATCAACTGATTTCTCCTCATGTTTGTTGTCATCAGCATCACTCTCTGTCTCTCCAGCTCCCAAATCTAAGACCGCAACGGCACCACCTTGAGAACAAGATTATTCAAACTCTCTTACATTGTCCGATTATAAGGTCGATTGGTCTTAAAAGTGAAACATTTATTTTAAAAAATAGGGGGGGGGGGGGACAACTTTGACTATATTGGCAAGTTTGTGCAATATGAATATTATTATCGCAAAGTCTGTTTGTGAAAATATGAAATTTTCTTAATAAGAAGTTGAAAAAAAATTACCTTGAATCGCAATTAGATTTTTTAGCTGAATTCTACTTTTTGAAGAAAGAACCTTTTTCATGGCAGAGGGTATCAAAGTTAGATACTAATATATTACTTCTTTTGGAGTACCCCTTTCTTTTTTCCCTCTCCCTCCTCTCTCTCTCTCTCTCTCTCCAACCCAATCTTCCCCATTTGTACTGAACTATAATTCAGTAATCGTTTATATATCTAATTATCATGAACTTCGAATTGTCAAGTTGAATTTCATACCGATTCCAATCTTTTCGAAAGATTTAATCTCTTCGACGATGTCCAGCTTGAATCCAGTACTTTGGATTTCATCAACGTCGTCGAAGACGTACCCGTCCTCGTTTTCATCCTGACGATGAACTGGTTTACTGCGTATGCACCCCATTTTTATTCAAAGCAAACAAAGCAAATTCGAATACTAAGTAAAGAACTCAATATACCGATGATATTCGCAAGTGATTGAATAGAACACTGGTCATACAGTAAGTAAACAAAGTAATCACCATACACACAACGCGCAACCAAGCGCATTTTATCTCTGACGTCATAATGCATGCGCATCCATGCTTGTGACGTTTTAGATGATTAGATGTTATTGTAAATAAAAAGAATGGCGGTAGATTTAGGCTTTTAGCAAATATCTTCCCCTCAAATATCACAAAGATTTTTATTTTTAATCTACCATTTTATTATAGTTTTTGCAAATTATAATACATCATCATAATGGAGGGAATAGTAAATTGTCAAGATATAAACCAAGAGATGTTACTAGGAAATTTGGAATGGGTTGGGGCATCCTTTCAGAAAATTTTACAGGGGGATATTCAAATAAGTGTATGTGGGAGGGGCTTCGTCACCCTGGGCAACGTTTGGTAATTTGAATTAGATAATGTTATGATGCACAGCTGTCCGAAGCTTTGAAAGCAATTCATATTTAAGACACTACATAATGATGTACCTAGTGTGGATATGAGAGACAGGGTTCCCTTCCCACTAATGAACAAAAAGACTTTTGAAAACTTTTGAATATATTCAATATTATATCAACATTTTTCATTTTCTCCAATATCCTCTTTAAAGGTAGACCTATCCATGTCATGAAACATTTCATACAGATCAGCGATGCACACAATTTATAACCATACAGCCTTATTAATGTTTTTCTTGTTTTAAAGTTTTGTATCACAGTTTTTTTAATTTTTATAATGACTTAACAATAGGCTGAAAGTCAACACGAGGAATATGAACTGTCACATTTTATATTGTATTTCAATTTTCATATGAGTTGTTAATACTGTTTGACACAACACATGAGTCTTCCAATTTATTTATGTTAAGGTCTAATTTGGAAGCTTTTGAGAAAGAAAAAAGTTTCGTGTTACCGTAATCTCAAATTATTACAGAGTGTTTTTTTAGTAAAAACAACAACAAAAGTTACCATCACAACTGCTACCAGACGAACTATAATCATTATCACCATCATCATCATCATCATCATCATCATCATCATCATCAAAATTGTCATAATAACCATCATTCAGGGGCAGATTCGCTACTGCTATAAGGTATATTTATCTGTTTAACCGTTGAATTGGGGGGGGGGGGGGGATATCTATCCTGCACAAATCCCAGGTCATTTTCTCATTTGGAAGACATGTGATTAATGACATATCGTAGATGGCGGAATGCCAGTTTAGGATATAAAGATCATTGAGTGTGTATTAATAGCGTTTACAAACAAGAATATGCCGACTTATGTATCCTTACCAATGTATGTCAGTTATTTTCATGACATTCAAACTGACCCCCCCCCCCCCCCCCCCCTCCTTTTTTTGTTTACATGATGGGGTTATATTTATCTGGGTTGATGAAAAAACAGGAAATGGGCTGAATTTTATTTTCTTTCCGATTTTCCGTCATAAAATTGAATGCAAAACTAACCCCTTGCAAATTTTGTCAAAAAGTGTTGTTTTTGCCAATTTGAATGGAATTTGCCCCTATCCTTTTTTGCGACTTTCTGCAGTTACTCTTATCCTGTATTGATGGGATAAAAATGCTGAATTAAACCCTTGCAGTTTCCGCCAAAATGTTGCACTTTTCATTATTTATTTCACCCTCTTCTCTACGTGAGGGGGTGGGTTTTTTTTTTTATTCTACCTGTATCTAATTTGTTCCGTTATGTGTGTTAATTATGTGTTTGTTTGTTTGTTTTTTCCTTATGTCAACTTTTATTTTAATAAATCAAATGGGTTTGAAAATGAATCATCCAACTTCTCGCTCTCTCTCTCTCTTTCTGTACCAGCTCTCTCAGGTTTTGTATCCCTCGTTATATGTTGTTTTACATGTATCTCTCGTTTGCTTTCTTCTGTTTTCTCTCTCCCCCTATGCCTCCTCTCATTTAGTGTTATATCAACAACTAAATAAAAAAACAAAAAATGACCCATCTGCCACTGAAATATAGAAGAGAGACAGAGATGGTGAAGGAAGGACGAGACAATTTTAAGAAAGAGAGAGAGAGAGAGAGAGAGAGAGAACGAAAGAGAGATATTAAGGGGGAGGGTGGTTTTAATGTAAAATAGCAGCCTTTCTTTACACCCAGAGCATTGTGGGGCAGAAAAATGTAGTTTGAGGGCACTTTGTTGAGTATCACACCTCTTCTTAATGGAGTTTTCAATACTTTTGTACAAAATTTGGTCATTGACCTCATTTTTTGTTTATATTTGTGCGTGTGTGTGTGTGGGGGAGGGGTGGTGTTTTTTAATGTCCACTCAATTTCATACTACTTATTACTGGCAGTTTGGTGCATGGGGTACATGGGGTGTAATCACTCCTAATTTGAGGTCTGTTTTGGAGGCTGTGGGGGCTGAACCTGACAGTAGCGGTCAGGCTGACGACTTTTTTGGCAATGCTTTGGATGGTCTAAATAACGGTGAGGGATCATATCTCATGGTTGAAATATTGTGACTATTTAAGGACAGGCTCATAGCTTATTGAACAAACAACGATAAACAATGATTTTATAATATTGATGTAAATTTATTAATACTATCATAAAGAATACATGTTATAACATATAATGTCTGAAACTTGTTTTTTGATCTGTGTCGAGAAAACATAATTACAAACACGAATGGATGTATCCACACTCATATACCTACAAGATACAAATAACATTCAATAAATCCTTCTCTCTCCCAACTCTAACCCTTTTCACTGACCCTTTCCTTGAAAGCGACCTCAAAATGGAGGTCATAGACACAGGTTGAAGGTCACCATTGTATAACATAATACACAAAGACAGTCTGCATGAATGAATGATAAAAAAAAAGAGTAAAATACTGATCTTGCTTGCTTATAAAATAAATCTGTCTGTAAATGATGAGCGTCAACTACAAAATACATATGATATTCCCACTACAAATAAATAGATGAGCTTTACAAAGAAGGGAAACAGGAATTGGCTGGTATTAGAGAAGGAAGATTTTAGATATATACATACACATGCCACTATTAAATGTGGTTCACTTATTAACACTGAAGTCAGGAAGGCTTACTCCGAAGATGAAGTCGACGTTCACTACATAACAAAATGAGTCTGTGCCTAGTTGAATATTAATCATAATAATAATCTTACATTATCTTGTAAATCTCGATATATCCATCTCTCTCTCTCTTGCTCCCTCTTTTTCTCTCACGCTCTATTCTCGCAACACGAAATGCAAGAATGCTATCGTTTTAAGTATTTACAAAGATTGCTTTAAATTGAATTGTTTACACTTTGAAAGCACAGAGTAGAAAACACTTTGCGAGAAAATATACTCAATGGCGCGCTTAGAAAATGACAACCGTACTTATTGTGTTGTCGATCTGGAAGCAGTATATTGCCTGTTATTATACAACTGGGAAGTTACATTTAAATTCAAATAATTTGATTCTTAAAGTATGTACTTCAGAGCATCTGATTAGCATCAACACTCCAGAAGAAAAACGAAGTGCATAGAAATTGTCAAAAATTAGACATCTCTCCAATAAGGGTCTGATGGAGTGTTCGGTCGAGGGACTTCCCCCACTTGGATCATACCAAAATTTCATAATAATTTTGCACATGTATTGGGAAAACTTAATTTAGAAGGAAAAACAAAAATTGAGTTTTAGACACAGAACAGCGTGTGCCTTTTAAAACACAATTGTGTATTGAGGTTACAAGATTACTTTAAAAAATAATGTTCAATTTAAAACAATATATGAAAATATAATGAACCAAAGTTAAGCTTATTCAGTTGTAATTGTTGTAACTGTCATCTAGAAAAAATGTTTGTCAGTTTGGAGGTCTATCTAATGATATCATAATAAAAATGAATCCTGTATAAGAAAACTATTCTATTCCGCTTCCAATTCATATATCAGTCAATATATCGACATTTAAAAAAATCTTTCTTTGTTAACATGCAAAAATTAGCACAACATAACATAAAATCAAGTAGGACGATATTCAACAAAGCATGATATGAAATCCCTACATAATGGGAAGATGGAAACAATAATATGAATAAGGTAAACATTTGTTTAAAATAACATAATATCTTGCTTATAGAAATATCTATTGTAGTTAGTCTATAGTCTAGATGGCCACAAGTGTCAAAAAAATGGAATAGCTTTTGGAATATATCTCGGAACTTGTTTGGTCACGAAAACATAATGAAATTAGTTGATAAATTATGCCTTGCATTTATGGTAAGTTGATTTCCTTATACAAAACTCAAATTCTTTTTTAAACAAAACAGTTTAAAAAAAAAATATCATGTTAACATTTCACATTTTTTCAAATTCATAGAATAATATCTTTCAAAAAGTCACAAAGGACATAACATACAAAGTTTATCCAAAATTAATAATATACAATGAATTTTTTTGGAAAGAAATTAAAAATGCATTACTACATTCGTAAAAGTAAGTAATAGGTTTGGTGGGTTGCAAAAAACATAAAAAACATACTCTCTTCTTCAAAATATAGTGTTTTTAAGCAAAGTTAATATTTCACCTTCCACAATATCATTTTGCCAACATCATGCAGCATATTCTAAGGTCATTCAAGAAGACGTTGAACTCTAAACAGGATCCGAGGACCAAGGGTCTGATAAGACAATCTACATAGCAACATCACATGCAATAAATAAATATGATTATTACGAGCTGCTCGGGCGTATATTTGACTATCTGAAGGCGCAAACTCCACGAGGAACGGATTCGGCATCCGCGGCGCAAATGAGAAATTTTTTGATCGATACAGGCAAGAGGCAGTACGAGAGTGAGGTATTTGCATGAGGGGGGGGGGGGGGGTTGTCAAATTGGCTTGTCAGTGAAATTATTCACGTATGTACAATCATTGTCTTCAAGTAAACAAAATAAACAACAGATAGAAGCACACTCTTGAATTCTTACCTCTGTATTGGTTAGGACGTGTCGTAGAGAACCGTTATAAAGTGGTGCCTAGTAACAAGAGGTTAATATAGGTATTATACGTTTATCTACATTATCAATGCATAAGGAAGTATAAGTCAAAGATTATAACACTAAGACAAGTACCTAATATTGGATTAGACAATGCTTTGAAATTATAAACAGGTAACATGCTATTTTGTTTGGTCATAAATTCTTTAAATATTTTGTACAACAAAAACTTAAGGATTGAATTATGTGAGTTTTATCAACAGAATGTATACGGCAAATGACATTGCCAGGATACAAAGTATAAACAATTTCGGTATAAGCATATCCAAATAAATGTATTTCATCAAAGCGAATACAAAATTAATTTCTTTTCTTATACACAAGTGTGACGAGATAACATAAAAGTCAATTTGAAATAGGAATATGGAAACTGGATAATTTGAACAAAATGTTGAGGTTAGCATCTTTTTCATCTATCTATCTTCCAACTGAAAGTTTGCAGAGATACAAAATTATAGGGATGATGGATATATGATATATACAGAACCATAACAAAGAGGTTGGTTATTCTACGGACTGATTTCATAACAACAAAGTGGAAGGATGAAAGAGACCTCCCCCCCCCCTAAAATAAAAGAAGCTGTTTTACTATGACTCCAATATACATGTAGATTAGTTTAACAGGAGCATGCCACTGTCATATTGTCCAGCTTCTAAAAATGAATACTGCTGGTTGATAAAGCTATATGAACACTTTCTTTCAGAGGCTACGACAGAAATACACAGTAGAAATAATTGCTGATGAATAAGTATATCATGGCAGACAAATCATAGGTATATCAAACAGAGGCATTCAATGACGGTTCAAAGTCAAACTTGGGTGACAAGGCGACACAGATGACTCCTGTATACACACGTGTACATGGAAAATCAGTGAAACAATCTGTTCTTGGCAGTTGGTATTCGTATTTTTAGTTGGCTTGGCACTCAAATAGAAACATTAAAGGCTGATAGAGATTCTCCATAGTCTTGCAACGCGGGGCTGCAAGGTGGGCTGGATGTAGACCGAAAGGAGGCTTCTCTCTGAATAAAGAATGCTGGAAGGGGTGCATTGATGGTCCCCCTTCTGAGCCTGGTACCTGAGCTGTTCTATGGAGGAGCTTTACTTGAAAAAATGAACTGCAGGGGTATAGTAGAGGGGCGTCATTCTAAAGACAGGGTGCAAGCAGGGGTGCACTGGTGTTCCCCTGCTAAGCCTAATAACAGGTTAGACAGGAGTTTATCTAGTTGGATGATAAACCAGAAGAGCTTTGCAGAGGGACATCATTCTGGACATGGACTCCAAGCAGGGGTGCATCGGGGGTAGATCAGCGCTACCCTCCTGAGCCTGACAACAAGGTACACAGTGAATAACTGAGCTGGAAGATTAACTTGACAGGTATCGACAGGGGGCTTCATTCTGACATGTAGTGCAAGCAGGGGTGCACGAGTGTTCCCCTCTGTAAAGTCCAGTAAGGAAGTCATTCTACAGGGGCAAAGCGAGGTGGAAGATCACCCAGAGGTGTATCGTAGGGGTGCATCAATGTTCCTCCGTTAAGCCTGGGATTAGAGCTGCTCTGCTGGGAGTAATCATTCTCATCGAGGTGGGTAGATGCCGGATTAAGAGCAAATGTTCAATAAATACTAGTAAATAGATTGCTCTTAATTCAGCAGTCAACCCACTCAAATGTTTTCGTCTCTCAAGCCTGGGATGATCAGGACTACTTTCGTTGATATCAAGAAGGAAGAACGACACTGCTTCTCCCTTTGGGTTAGGTTACTTCTTCTCTCCTTTCTGTAATCAAAAATAAATAAAACAAAAGCAAATAATTAGAAAGGAAAAGGACAACATTGTAGGTACTTATAATTGCCTAACATCTGTATCACAAAATTCCTCATGTTTATTTCTCCCCCCCCCCCCCCCCCCTCCTCCTCTCTCCCTTTCTCATTCTCTCCGCAACTCCCTCTCACCATTAAAAAAAGCACAGCATAGCCTTGACTAAAATTCCTCTACAGAGCAATTGTCCATCAGAGTTTGGTCTGGTTTTTAAAATTCTTTGGTTTCAAGAAAATACAGATGAATAAAAAAAAAAGTACTTTTATAAACTTCATACACACTCCTGTCAAAGACTTGTTTAGATGTACATAATCTTCAAGTTGCGAATACTGATGTTTTCCCTTTTCTTACCTTTGATTTGTGGAACATATGTGTTAAATCTGAAAGACTCCTTCGGTTCTTTGGTCTAGTGGCACCATCTAAAAGCAAATAATACAAAACTGAGTCAATTACCTCTCAAGGTAAAAACGCATTAAAAAAGATAAAATGATAAGTCATTGCATGATGTAGCTTACAAAATATGACATTTTCACTGTCCATCTCAAACTGTATTTATGTGTGGTTTGAAAAATAGAGTAATTTATGGTTATGCCATCATGTCAGGCAGTACTAATTCCATAACATGTCACATTTTCCAAATATTTTAACCCCCAGTCCCAACAGTTTTGTGTCATGCATACCTGCCTACCTTATATAACAAAGACTAGAAATCTCTCAAGGTAAAAGTAGGAGTTTAATATATTTTCTAAAGCTAAAATACAAAGGTTTTTTTTTTATATATTGGGGAATTAATGGTAAATGGTCATGAAATTAACTTGAAAAACATAAAAAAGAAAATCAATCCTCCAAAATACAAATGGTTGGCAGCTGGCCTAAAAAAAAAAGATGTTGTATTGCCATTTGCAACAGACCCAAAAATCTAGAAATATAAGGGTGTCTTTTTAAAAAAGATTTTTTTTTTTTTCGTTTTAGAAAAAACATGTATTGAAGCATTCAAAACAGAGAAATATCAGCCCTAACAGGGAGTTTAAAAAAGTATTTAAAAAATTACAAGAATTCTGACCAACCGACCCATGTTTTGGCACCTAAAGGGCAATACAACATCTTTTTTTTTTAGGCCTTACCCATGTCTGGAACATAACACTATCTTATTTATTTGTTCATTTTAAATTATTTTTATTGTTTATTCTTTCTTACCAGACTCTGGTTGAGTTGTGACGGAGGAGCTCCGGCGAGGTTTCTCTCCAGCTCCTGTTTTGTCGTACTCCTCCCCCGTCGTCCTCCTGTGGCTTGCTCCTGCTGCTGTGTCGCCCTCTGCAGTCTGCCTCAGCGTCTCTATCTGATCCCGGGCAAACTCCAGCTCCAGCTCTCGTAATCTTAGATTCATCTACGGAAGGAAAGGTTCATGTTCCATAAGAATGACTAGAATTCTATTTGTGCAAATAACTCTACGACCAGAAATATCATATTAGTGGACAGATTTCATAGGATTGCTATTTTAATGTTGTCATCTAGAATCTTTCCTCTGCTATTAAAAAAAATTAGTTTTCAAACATTTAAACAGAACTTGTTCACACATGGCCAACCCACATGAAAAATTGAAAGATATTTCAATAGAAATGAAATTCACATTTCTAACTCATTATATGTACAATGTGGTAACATAGAGTTCAGTACAGAGAATAATTCACCAGCTATCTCACAAATTTCACACGATTCCTTTTTGAGGATAAACAACCTGGAAATGGGATCTATCATAACCAATAATTTTAGATGGTGATGTACATTGTCTACTTGCTAAGTGGGATCTACACACCTCTTCTAGAAGCTTAACTACGAAGGAAAATTGTTGTAGGAAGGAAGAAATTCCTTGAATGCTTGAGCACTTTTTCATGGTAGCTCGGTTGAAATTGAGTTCTGGTCATGCGATTGCATTGTGAAAGAAACGGTGTGGAACTGACCAGAAAAGGTTGACCATCTAGCATATAAGAATTTGTGTGTATTGCAAGGTTCTGGAATCATCAAAATGATAAGAAATGTGGCCAAGTCTTGGTAAAGTTACAAACACTTGCACAGAAAGATGTATATGGGACTACACGAACACGTGGCGTAAAAAGTCGCCCCCCCCCCCCCCCCCCCGATGTTTTATGATGTTACATGCATATTTAGAATATGAAGGCATTTGAAGAGCCAAGCTTTTGAGGGAACATGTTTTAACTGATGTTCTTCCACACTTGCATAATAAGAATGAGTAATGCTCACAAATTATTTATCACCTCTTCCCAGAACTCAACCTTCTCTTTAAAGCTGGAGTAATGATATGATTGTAAGGGCCCTCAGAGAGAACAGTATGAATACTGATGAGGCTACCCTGGGTAAACAAGCCATATTGTTATTTTTATTATTATTTTCTTCAGATCAACATACCTCTAGCACCTTGACTTTCTTCTCTTTCTCCGCATCGTCCTCTTCCTCCTCCTCTTCCTCGTCATCCTCCTCCTCATCCTCCTCCATCCTCTCCAGCTCCTCCCCTAGCGAGGCGACCCTCTTCCTGTTCTCCACCTGGGCCCGCTGGAGCTTCTCGTGGGCCTCCTTCTGAGAGCGCTGCATGGCGCGCAGGGCCTTGCTCAGCATCGTGTTCTCCTTGCACTGCTCAGAGAACTTGGTGGAGAGGATGACCCAGTCCCGGTTCATCTGCGTCACCACCTCCCTGCAAGGTATCAAGTAACGGAGTAAGAACTAAGAAGTCACAACTATTCTTTCAAACTACCAAAGAACCTTAAAGATACTACAGTCAGACCTGCTTTAGTGACCACCTGTCTACAAAGACCACATTTTTTGTTTCCCTTGAAAATGGCTTCTCATTGAAACAAGTACTAAAGGAACCCGTCTACAAAGGCCACTTTTTGTGATTCCCTTGGGTGGTCGCTATATAGACAGGTTTGACTGTACTTGGTTCCGAAAGCAAAGAATTGTCAAAAGTAATAATGTCCAAAAGTGAAGAACACTAATGATCCCTGAAGTTATTATGAAAATAGCCGATGTTAATAGTCCGGCAGCCAAATCCAGATTATTGGCCTAACCTTGTTTTAGGGTCTATAGTTTTTTTTTCAATGGATTATAATTGCCTAAACCTTCTATTTGAAGAATCCGATTGCTGACACTCTGTCAGCCTTGAGCAATTTAAGATATGTGACGTCATACAAAATGGCCGCCAAAGTACATGATTTTTCTCTAAAAATGTATAATAAATATATAATAGGGCTTTTTCTACAATTTTGGGCAGCCAAATGTCTGTATCTCTCTAGGACCATCACTAAAAATTGTTTCGTGATGTTGCACGGCCATAGATGACAAGCTAATTTGCATATTTTGAAATAGCGCCCTCTATAAATATATTAATTTTGCATAAAAATAGGTGTGCCAGCCAAATGCCAATTTCTTATTTCTCAATGGATTATGACTGCCTAAACCTTCTATTTGAAGAATCCGATTGCTGACACTCTGTCAGCCTTGAGCAATTTAAGATATGTGACGTCATACAAAATGGCCGCCAAAGTACATGATTTTTCTCTAAAAATGTATAATAAATATAAAACAAGGATTTTTCTACAATTTTGGGCTGCCAAATGTCTGTATCTCTCTAGGACCATCACTAAAAATTGTTTCGTGATGTTGCACGGCCATAGATGACAAGCTAATTTGCATATTTTGAAATAGCGCCCTCTATAAATATATTAATTTTGCATAAAAATAGGTGTGCCAGCCAAATGCCAATTTCTTAGATCTACGTGACGTTAAACACATATTATATGCTTCGTATGCATGAAATAATTACGATTGTGCTGCATTTATCTTACATATTTTTTGGTCTAAATTAAGATACATGTAAAGAAACCAAGATCTACAAGAGAATCAGTAAGAAGTGATTTTACGGTACATTATTGTTCCATTCATAGGCTTTATTTAGACCAGCATTGATCCAGCGTCAGTGAATGATGATAAAGCATTTGGCATCGGTACCAGACAGATGCATGAGTTTTAACAGAAGTTACCTGGTGGATTCTATGACACAATTCCCAAGAAAGTCTACAACGGGTACCTGACAGAAATTGTCAGCCCAGACACCAACTGTAAACCAAAGTGTTTCTGGAGTTTCATAAACGGCAAGCGATGCGATGCTTCAGGGTTGGCTCCATTGAAATAATCTAATGGAATTACTTACTCAGATAGCCTCTCAAAGGCGAACATTCTAAGTAATCAGTTTTCATCCATCTTCAACTGCAATGAAGATATGACTAGTCTGAGAGACAAAGGACGAAGCCCCTACCCAACCATGGATCACATTACTATCTCGCCACCAGGTGTTCTGAAGATCCTGTCTGAGCTTGATGTTCATAAAGCCACTGGTCCTGACCAAATCCCAGCCAGACTTCTGACCACCAAACTGACACCTGTGTTCCCTCTATTCTTCCGAGCCTCCCTTAACCAGATCGTGCATACCTGATAAATGGAAGATGGCTATATTATATTGATCCCATCTTCAAGAAAGGTGACCGTAGCAAGCCAGAGAACTACAAAGCTGTCTCTCGGACGTCAGTAACCTGTGAAGTACTGGAGCACATCGTTCTTAGCAGCAACATGAACCACCTTGAAAGCCACAACATCTTGTCTGATGCACAACATGGCTTTCGAAAGAAGCGATCCTGCGTCTCACAGCTTATCCTTGCTGTCCTGGACCTTGCCAAAGGCATCAATGCTAGAGACCAATTGGACATGACACTCCTTGGTTTCTCCAAATCATTTGACAAGGTTCCCCATGGAAGGCTAGCTGTTACACAAGCTCCAATTCTATGGAATCTGGGAACCCACACATGCTTGGTTTTCTGGCTTCCTGAGTTACAGGACCCAGCAGGTGTTACTGGAAGGACCCATCTCCAACACCAGCCAAGTAACATCTGGCATCCCGCAAGGCAGCGTTATCGGCCAGATGCTGTTTCTCCTCTTCCTCAATGATCTGCCACCGTACCTCTCCCCAAACCCAACAGTCAGACTCTTTGCTGACGATGGCATGCTATACAGCAACATCAAGACATAGGAAGACGCCTAACGTTTCCAAGAGGATCTTGACTCACTGCAACGCTGGGAGCGTGATTGGCTGATGGAATTCATCCCACATAAATGTCAGGTTCTACATGTCACCAATAAACGCAAATCCATCATCAAATTCACGGACAGACCCTAGATGACAAAAATATAGCAAAGTATAGGATAGCACAGAAAAACCTCAGCTGGAACCCACATATCAACATTATCAGCAAATACTCCAACTCCACCCGTGCCTTTCTTCAAAGAAATATCCAACCATGTCCTAGAAAAGTTAAATAATTGTGCTACGATACTCGCCTTCAACCAATCATGGAGTATGCCATCATCATAATTATATGGGACCCTAACACTCAAACAATTAGCAATCATCAAAAAGCTTGAAATGGGTCAACGGCGCTATGTCCGCTCCTTCTGCAATGACTACTGCAGGACAAGCAAAGTAGAAGCCATCCTGAACCAGCTCAAGTGGCCAACATTACAAGAACGCAGGGTACAGGCTCAGGTGGTGATGATCTTTCGCATCAACAACCCGCTGAAAGACTTTCCACATACTTTCCTCACTCCATCAACATCCCTGCACAGAGGGCATTCCAAGAAGATAATTGTTCATTTTGCCTGAATGTTTGTCTAAAAGACGAGCTTCTTCCCGGATACAATAAGACTCTGGAACTCCCTCCCTTTGAACACCGTCAATTGTACCTCTTTTTTAACTGCTTCAAGCAAGAGTTTTTTTGCTGTGCAGCTCCTGTTATGACTAAACAGTCAAATCCTAGAGAGGCAGGTCCTGTTGCAGTTGCTGCAGACAAATTTCACGTGTGGCTGTGCTGTTGAAGCCGTGGCTAGCTACCGTCTTTGTTGCCTTTTCTCCTCCCACTGTTCTACTCTCTTCTGATCACTCCTCTGTATACATGTCTTCACAGCGCATCTCCATTTGGGGCAGTCTGAAGCATAGGCTTCCCATTTTGTAGGGTTGATTTCACTGGCCTCCATATCCCTCTTGCACACATCCATGAAGCGAAGGCCAGGTCTTCTAACAGTCCTGGTTCTGGTCGCTAACTTTCCCAACAAGATGTCTTTTGAAATGCGGCCGTCTTCCATACGACTGACATGACCAAGCCATCTCAGCCGTCGTTGTGATAGAAGAGCGTAGATGGTCATCATCCCTCCTTTTTGAGGACATCCTTGTTTGGAATGTGGTCCTGCCATTCGATGCCTAGGATTCGCCTCAAGTAGCGGAAATGGAAAACATTCAAACGGCGCTCCTGACTTGCATACAGGGTTCACGACTCACTGCCATACAGGAGAGTGCTGAGCACATAGGCCTGGTAGATCTTCATTTTCGTGTTGGTGGTTTATAGTAAAGTGTTCTTCCAGGCCTGCTTTGAGTGTCTAGCAATCTTGGTTGCTGCCTTTCCAATGTGAACGTTGAGCTCGAGATCAAGGGAGAGGTTGCTTAATACATGGAGCCGAGGTAGGTGAAGTTTTCAACCACTTGGAGGGTGTAGTTTAATTAACATTGGAGGATTCAAAAGTCTATGACACCAAGTTGATCTACTCTTAGACTAGAGTAATAGGACTGCAGGCAAGTTGAAGATATGTCAATATCAAGAATATTTTGTCATGAAAGCTTTCACCAGGTCAAAGGCGAACTTGAAGAATTTGACAAAGGTTGACGTGTCACTTAATTGAGCAACCTTGTACAGCCCGTTTGATGGTTGTGCTCTACTCTGGATTAAAATCTGATGATCTTTGGTTGGTGTGCCACCAGGGTTTCTAGAAGTCATGACGAATCGAGAGTCATCCAAAAGAGTCTTCCTTCCCACCTCACTGCTTCCCTCCCAGAAACTACTGACAACAAACTACAGTTGATCGACATCATAATACCGGTATGCGTGATTCTGCAGAATGAGGAGGTGTTCAGAAATAGGCAAAAGCACAAGCTGGTCATTACCGGTCAAGATGAGGTATCTGTTGAAGTGATACCAGGCAGCGATGTCATGCCAAGGGAAGATCTTTCCATAACACATGAAGAAGCAGACAACATCATAGTACAGCAAGCGATTCAAATTGCTGCTAATGAGAAAAGGTATGTTAGGGTCCTGGCTGTTAGGGTTAGGGTCCATCATTATCTACACAAATAACTTAGAACGCCAATGATCATGGCGTCATCAAAGAGCATTCCTGCCACTGTACACAAGTTAGAAGATATCATTCCATTGATGTTGGCAGAACATGCGTTGAGGGGATGCGACACTATTTGGGCATACTTTGGGATTGAAAAGGGGACATGCATTGCTGAAAGTGATGAAGCAGAAGATTTGACTCCCTTTGGACTCAGTTGGCAAGAGAGCTCATCTGCAAACATGTGTGTGGAAGCACGCCTTGCAGTCACGACCCACATCATTGGATCCTACAAAGTATGGCTATTCAAAAGAAGAGGAAACCAAATCCCTGATCCCTGTCACAGTACATACAAATGTACAACTCGCACCGGACAACATATTAAGGTTAATACGGTGCACTTGTGCGAGTGGAAGCCTATGTAAATCATCACGGTGCCAATGCAACAAAGCAAAACTAGCATGCACAATTTTCTGTGGTTTTCGCGCCTCTGTCGAGTGTTATAACGATCAAACTAAAGCAGCAAATGATAGCCATTGGAAGGTAACCATGTTTGGTCATTTTGGGTGGATATTTCGCTTTATTAAACTAAACTCCCTTGTAAGAGAGGAACCTTTTCATGATAGGTTCATATAAAAGAATGTATTACCTCAAAATACAAATCAAATTTCGGAATGCTGTCACTGAAAACGGGCATTTATAACCATATGGTACCTCATATCTATGGGACAGAGAGCATGAAATTCTAGCTTGTTTTCTTCAAGTATTAAAGATAACGACCAGTTATGGTCATGCGATTGCATTGTGAAAGAAACGTTGTGGAATCAATCAGAAAAGGTTGATCATCTAGTATTGGTGTGTACTGCAAGGTTCTGGAATCATCAAAACGATTAAAATTTGGCCCAGTCTTGGTAAAGTTACAAGCACTGTACACAGAAGGATGTATATGGGACTACACGACACGTGCGCGATATCTATCAGATCTAAATAGATATAATAATTTACCAAATATATCAATTAGTAGGCGGTTTCTCGGCAAAATTTGTATCATCACGTATTAGTCAAAACATATTCTTTCACATGATTGGTGATAAGAGCTTCCATTTCATTTTTTGAGAGGGGGCGTTTCCAAAACTGATCTTTACCTTTAAAGTACAAAATAACAAAAAAATCACACCAAAATGTGGTGCACAATTTTTACTTATTGTATTCAGTGCGTCTGACTTATAAAAAATGTTAATTTCATGTTAGAAATTGGCATTTGGCCATCATTTAAAATTTGCAAATTAACGTGTCTATAGAGGGCGCCAATCTGAATTATGCAAATTTACATGCCATTTTTTATCATACAACATCGTCAATTTTTATTTAGTGATGATCCTAGAAAAAATCAAGATATTTGACTGACATTTAATGTAGCAAAATACTGTAAACAATTTTTTTTTATCATTAATTTTGATAAAAAAGGGTATTTTGGCGGCCATTTTGTGTGACGTCACATATCTCAAATTGCTCAAGGCTGACAGAGTGTCAGCAATCGGATTCTTCAAATTGATGGTTTAAAGAACTATAATAAAAAAAAACAAAAACTATAGACCCTAAAACAAGGTATATCGTGATGGCTGCCGGACTATAAGGACATGTAGGATGAAATAAATAATTTTTAAGAATAATAAAGAAGTAAAAAATGAATTTAATTGTTGAAACATGTAGCATCATAATTAAAAGGCTTTCAAAGGATTCTACATCATTTTCACCACCCATAATGTTGCTTTACAAAAACATTTGGATTGCTCTTGCAACACGTATCCTAAAATATCAAATCATCCTGAGAATAAAGTATGCTGTAACTTCCAGTATTATGAAATTCATAATCACTCAATTGATAGACTTCACTGTCAGATTTTATGTCCCACAAAGCAAATATGATATGACAAAATAGGTGTGGCATCAAAAGATAGTGAAATTGATTTGAAATTAGATAGTGCGTAATAAATATAGATATTTTTTAAATCATAACCTAGCAAGAATTTTGAGAAATAATAATGGATCCGAAGCATACAATCTTATCTCTAAAGGCTGCGAAAATAAACAGCTGAACTTTCAGATTTTTTTTTTTTTTGCCTGTTTATATTATCATATTTTGCTGTCGCTGTAATCTTAAGTTAAAGAGCTGCATGCACTTCAAGCGCACGCTGACACTGCAGCTCTTCTGCATAATTGTGTTATTGATGGTAATTTGACAAATTATTACCTCTATGTACAAAATTTTCATATTGTTACTGATTATTGATGTATGAAAAATGCAGAATTCAATTAATCAAAATGAAAAATACAAATAAAGAAAACTTTCAGATTTATTTTTGTTCACTGTTTGCTCACCTGTGCCTCTTCATGATGGTCTCGACGTCCTTTGGATAGGACTCCTGTGACATGCGTTTCTCCTTCTCAAGCTCCTCCTCATAAGCCTTCTTTAATACTGATATTGCTGTGAGGGAAAATAGGAACAATAATAATTAATAGCCATGTTTCTGGGACCCGAAGCCTTTTTTCAATGACAAATGACAAAAGTCAGTGACAAATATGCTGATAACCAATCCAAAGCAAGGATTTCACTAGCTTATAACAAAAACTGTCATTTGTCACTGATGACAAGTTTTGTCAAATAGGGGCCTGATGTGCTCATGTACATCCCAAGGAATGCTCACAGTGCCTAACAAATCACCAACAAGAATAAAAGAAAGATGGAGAAGATGCAAAACTAGCCTATTTTTGTTTTTGTTCTACATCTATCTCTCCAATACTGCATTTATAAAAAAAAAATTGGAGGGGGGAAAAAAAAAATCACTTTTTGTGTACTCAACAAAAGGGTGGGTGGTTTAAATATATGATTTGCTGTATTATAAATCCCCCCATGATGCCCTTTTGCTAGACACGTAAAGCAATTTTCTTTGAATCCATGGTTGTGCAACAGAGGGCACTTCCAATTTAGATCGTAACGTTCGGATCCAGACCTCCTATGGAAAACACCAGAGCCCATCTTACAAAGAGTTTATATAAATTGTAACTTATTAACTATTGATGTCAATCTTAACTATGTACATAAGAGATAGGAGACTGCAAAATTGGGATTGATTAGAGGACTAGCCTGATTTGGATCAATTGCAACTCTTTGTAAGACGGGACCCTGGTGTAGAACTTTGGTTTAAGACAGAATATCATCCCTTTTGGCTCTAAAAGGATGAAATGAAATCAAGATGACGTTGGATGGGCCAAGAAACTTACCGGTGGTGACGGACACGTCTTCCTTCTCCTTCTCCAGCTTCATCTCTGCTTCCTTATCTTCCATCTCCTTCCGATGCTTCCTCTCCATCTCCTCCACCAGCTGGGCGTGGTTCCTCTGCTGCGCCTGAAGCAGCTCCTCGTTCAGCTGGTCCTGTAGTAGTAGAAGTAGTAGGAGAGTAGCGGGCATGATTAGATTTATACTAAGTCAGACTTGTATGATATTTGGGTTTAAGAATCTGCGATCGGTAGTATGGGCAAAAATTAGCATGGACAAAGTTTATTTAGATGTATATAGAGGGGTCAGTGACACAAAGACGTAACTCCATTTTTCGCCATTTTGAGAAAAAGTGGTTTATGTGTCACTGAGCACTTGGGCCTTAAGGAGTTAAGTCTATGTTTTACTAGCCATTGACTTCAATAGGGTGTTGGGTAGACTTAGTCTTTGTGTTTCCTGGAAAGCCTACATTTTTCTGAACAATTTGATATCAAATACTCATTTTGGCAAAATATGGAGTTACGTCTTTGTGTCACTGATCCCTCGATATATTTTCCAGAGAGCCAGAAGGGTGGTATCTCAAATTGCTTTCATAGAATAAATGCCCTTATTGCTCCTAGCAGACAGTGTCACTTGGGTCTCTGGTGATGCAAGGATAAACCTTCCACATATGTAACATATACCAACAAGACAATCATAATCAGAAATGGCTAATATTACATCAATGTACACATAATGATGTGAAATCTCATACCCATTTTGAGTAGGGTATTCCCCTATTTTTTTCCACGATGAAAAGACCGAGTTATATTAATGAACATTCATGTCTATGTGCTTTGAAGCAGTATATAATGTAAGCAAATATTTTTATTTCTAGTAGGGCACAATATGATTTTTTTGCACAGAATGCTCAGGTGTGAAACAAATAAAATGTCAATATCAACCTCTGGACATTAAAATGATGTATATGTATTTTACAACTAGCAAACAGCTTGAAAGTTGAGATTTTTATATGAATTGGACCGATCTATGCATACAAAAAAGAGAAGCTAATACATATAGATCCAGTGATCATCACATCTAGAAACTATACCACACAAATTAAAGCCCATACTACTTAGAAGCACAGATTCGAGAGCTACATGAACATAAACAGTGAAAAACAAGTTGAGTACTAGAAAGACAATTCCCTTCTAGTTCCAAAACAAATGGTTTATAATAGAATATTTTTTTACCACAATGATTAAAGCCCAAACTACTTTGAAGCACAGATTTGAAAACAAATGTATATTTACATAAACAGTGTAACACAAGTTTGAGTACTAGAAAGACAATTTCTTTCTAGCACTCGAACAAATGGTTTGTAATAGAATGTTTTCTACCACATTGATTGAAGCCCAAACTACTTTGAAGCCACAGATTTGAGAACTAGATGAATACAGACAGAGTAAAAACAAGTTTGAGTACGAGGATGGGGCATCACTTACCCCCCCCCCCCCCCCCCCACCCCCTTCCTTTAGTAATGCCCCTGCCCTAATACAAAATTTCAAACTTATTGAAGGTGAAAATTTCTCTGGCTATTTTGTAAACCTAACATGTGAAATTTTAGTTATAGTGACATGACTTTGATGATTAGATGTAACCAAATAACATGAGTACAACAAATAATATTCCAGAGACCCTTTCAAACCCATATGAACTACAATTCAGTTTCAAAACTCTCATTTTGTGCTCTAAAAGTAGAATGATGTTTATATACCATTGTGGGTGACCAATAGATTCCCAATCAAATCAAATCAAAATTTGTACTCGCTTTGATTAATAATTACCAATTTTCTTTCTGAGCACAAAATAAGTTATCGAAAGTCACATCATTGAAAGGAACATTGACAAAAATGATTAGATTAGATAATTTATGTGAGTAGCCCGGTGGTTATACTTTTCTTTTGTTTGAAGCTCGTCATATTCTAAGATATCAGTTTCTATAATTTAAAACTTGTATTATTCTTGCATTCTAAATTTCTTTAAATATGTTAGCAAGAGTGATAATAAAGAGATTAAAATCTGTTAAATACATATTTGTTTTTACATGCTAATATATTGTAATGTAATCACATTCTGTATACAATGAGCCAAGTCACTTTTAGTGATAGGATTAAAATAAGGCTCTATCAATCTAATTTGCTTTGACCGATGTTGTTGGATACAGAAGTAGCAAGGTAATCTTTAAAAACCTTCATGGCAGTGCATAGACACTTTAAGAAAGATTGAATAACACTCAGAAACAATCATCCATCAGTTATAGACTTATGCATAGTGATATCATTCTAAACAAATTTAAAGCCTTTACTTCTGGTTACGCATAAGAGCTTGCCATAAAGAGGAACCTGAAGAAACTTGGCTGATAGCTTCAGTTCATAGCTACTGTATGAGAAGTTTGAACATTTTGTAATTCCTGATTTATATGGTGTCCCGGAACAGATACAGAATATTTTGAAAGAACTATCAAGTGCTCAAAATTTCAATCAATCTTCTTTTCCATGCACAAGAAATTCCATGTATATTTGCAGGCAATCGTATGCTTTCATCACATGCTTATTCATCATTAACAAATGTTATCCAGGCTGTTAATATGCGCATTAAATAATGCTGTCATTTTAATTGATTTAGTCATAATACATGCTTGTTTATAATTTTGCATTGAATGCTACATCACTAGCCCCTGCCAGCTCCTTTATGAATATATAAACACCTATCTAGGAAATTTTAAAGGCATGAAGTGTTTCCTGAAAATTTCTATTTGGTTTAAAATTTTAATTATGATGTCAATAGAAACTACCGCCTGCTAAGTTTCAGAAGGGCATTTACTCATATACGTTTTGATTCATTTTATGCCTTTTTGTTGCTCAGCAGAAGATATATATATATATAGCAACTTAAAGTCCCACTTAATAGCTGTCATGATTTTTCAATTTTGTTTCCTGCATTCCTTACCATATCATTTCATATGTAAGATGGATAAAAACAATTATGGTAATTAGAAATGATTGAAATACAAGACAAAAATAAAAACGAACTGTGCATCCATTGATACCATTCAGTTATCAAAGTAACAAGAAGTTCTACTTACCCTTCTATCGACCACAGAATATATAGATTACGTGAGATAATTTTTCTTAAAGCATAAAATACTATGAATGTGTGAAAAAGCAAGCAGAGTTAGAACTTCAAAATTATGAAGATATACCAGTAAACCAATTTCAGAGTTTCCTGATTTCATTTTGGAGAAAAAATATAATGGGAACGATGCATGCCACACACAGGATGTAAATCAAAATGAACAAAAACAAAAGGGAAACATGGAACGTGAAAAAGACGGGCAGACAGGGAAAAAATAAACCTCAAAATGATAAGCACAACAGGAGGAATAAAAGACTCGACAAGGGGAGGTAAAAATTGAGACGCTACAGACAGAGAGATACGTCCTAGGAGCGAGACTCTCCTGACAGGACAAGAATAGTCCGCATGCATGCCAGGGTTGGGAGACTGTCTCCAACATGGTGCGTGTTACCGATTAGACAAGCCCGTCTTGTGCATGTATTATGGTGTTGATGAGTTGTATGAGAAGCACAGCTTGGCGTGAGTAAAAAAAAAACTTTACATTCTGGGGATCCGTTAACGTTTCTCCCGTGGTTTGATTTAGGTTTTGTGTGAGAGAACAGTTTTTTTTTGGTTTGAGTGTGAGAGAGGATTGGATGATTAGAAGCATGCAGGATGCGATTCAGGCAAAGAGGCGTGTCTTCAATCTTGATTGGCAGGCTGTGGGCTTACCTTAGCCTCCTGCACCAGCCTCTTGGTCTGGGACTCGTGGTGGCGCTCCATCTCGCTGATGCCCTTCTGGTAGCGATGCTGGGCGTTGGCCAGGTCCCGACTCCCTTTGTCCCGGATCTCCTTCAGTTTATCCCGATAGTTGGTGTGGAGGTCTTCCGTCTCCAATTGGTAGCATCTTGTGATGGCTTGGATCCCTGTCTCCATCTGGCTGAGCTTTGTCTTGTGGTACTCCACCAGCTCTAAGATATCTGCCCTCATACTCCTCAACTGTCCATGTGCCTCTTTCAGATCTATTTGCCCCCTACCTAATACGCTTTCCAAATCTATGTGGCTGGGAGACCCCTCACCCCCTTTCCCCATGGCTGTGATATCCTCTTCAAGGCTCTTGACTGCAGCATCGGCTGTGACAAGCCGCTGACGAAGCTGGATCAGCTCTTGCTCATGGACAGTCCTCTCTCCTTTGATGATGGCTTCATAGCGTTCCCTCACCAACGCGATGTTCCTTGAGTGCTCGGCTGTGATGCTTTCTAAAGTAGAGACCCTTGTTCGAACAACCTCATCTGCATCCACACCATCCTGTCTTCTGTCTTCGCCATTTTCTTTGATAGGGCCAGTAACATGATCCGAGTAATCAATGACCTGACTTGGAAGTACTACATCTCCAAGCGCATCAAGGGACAAGCCTCCAGTGCTGTCATTGTTCTGGTTGCTGTTACCTTCAGCTAACATACTCAACTCACTTCTCAAATGAACCCCCAAGCCAGAAAGAACGGCTTTCATCAAGACTGAGAGGGCAATTTCCTTCTCAGTGGTTCCTTCGCGATCTTCTTCTGAGCTCTTTGGCGTGCCGTTCTTCAAGGTATCTTTGGTTTCTTTCTTTGACTTCTTCTTTTTCTTCTTGCTTTCTTCCATCTTGCTCTCCATCTCATCATCGCTTTCTTGGAGGTAATCCCAATACTTCTGCCTGATGAGTCCACTTGTTGCTTCCAGCTGTCTTGCGATTGCATCCCTGATCAGACCAAACCTCTGAATACCAATAGACCTCAGCAACGAGAGCACCCGCTTGCACTTCAACTCTTCAGAATCAATCTTCCCGACAAATTCTTCAATGGTTGAGTTAACACACTGTAGAGCTTCTGCTAGAACAAGCTCACTGCTGACACATTCCATGGCAACACGTAAGGCCTCTTCATAGGCGATGCTCTCTGCGAACGGCGCCAAGTCGGAATCCAGTCCAAGGCCAGAATCATTCTTTCCAGCTATCCTCTGCGGGTTGCTATATGCACCTTCCTTTGGTTTCAGCATTCCTTTCTTGGTTTCAGCTGGTGATTCATGCTTCTTGGCTGCTGTTTCATCAGCAAGGATTTTGGCAAGAGCATCACACTTCACCTCCAAATCTTTCTCCAAGGAATGTGAAAACTCCCAATTACAAGTGAAGAAGGTGGTACATGCAGCATAGACTGCGCTAATCTCATTGGACCCAATGATGGGATAGGAATCAGCTGGTTCCTTCATTGCCAGGAATTCACTCTCGGCTTCTCTTATGATCGTCTTTGAAAGGCCAGCTGCATATCCCGAGACATTCTTGTCTCTTGGGAACATAACTTCAATGACACCATCCCTATCTTCAGCATCTATCATACGATGACAAGACAAAAGCCTCAAGACATCATCCTCTCCAAGAGCACTTGCTGAGATTTCTTCCAAGAAAGAATTCAGATATTCCACTTCTAAAAGACAGTGGCAGTATCTGACCCTCTGTATCTTACCACTACTTAATGCTTGGGAACCTAAACCATGAGCCGCTTTTGCTGGGAACCTGAACAACTGACCATAACGTTTATCTGAGACCTTGCTTGTGTGCTTTGAGCCCCTAGGGGAGATATCTGGAGAGAGAGGAGGACTAGTGGAAAAGAACAAAGGACTAGAAGGGCAACTCCTAGGGGACTTTGGACTATCCCCATCAGATAGACTAGACAAGTCTCCCAAACTAAGAATGACCGATTCTGATAATTCTGTCAGGGACTTCCTCTTACGGATTTCGAGAGATTTAAGTTGAGAATTCAAGAGATCTATAGCTTTATCAAGTGTGTGGCATGCATCCGTTACATGATAGGTGGCAGCGGATGAAGGGACAGTGGTGATGGTTTTGTCAGTTGTATTAGCAGTGTTAGTTGATTCCTTGGACACCCTTGGGAGTTCAGTAGGACTCTCCCCTATGACCTGTGATGGTTTGGCAGGTTGAATGCGCATTAGAAGCTGGCGACATTGGGCCAATAAATGGTGCGTTTGGCGGGCTGAAGATTCAGAATGGGACTGTACCTTCTCTGTTTGTTGCCTGAGGGCGAGCACTTCTCGTTGCAGCCCCCGTACCTGATCCTTGAGCCTATTCTCGCTTATGCATTTGGCCTGGTAAGCTTTGCGCTTTTCAAGCTCCCTGGTAGTTACATCCACCAAACGATGGGTCACCTGCTTAAGTTTCTTCTCCATCTCCGCAAGACGCGACTCCAGGATCTTAATCTTGGAGCCTCCATCTGTACCATCACTGGATGGGCAGTCTGAGCTCTCAGAAGTGTCTGAAGTCTCTGTTGTCTTACCAGCAGTGGCAATCGCCCCTGCAAGCTGGTTAATGGAGGAATTACATGAGGGTGAAGAAGAAGAATTGACAGATACATCATGATCAAAGCTGGAAATACTGTTTGATGGGCCAGCTTGCTCTATGGCTTCCATATGTTTCTCAACTGAATCTATCTTTCCCTCTAGTGCATTTGCCCTATGGTGTTGAAGCTGACTGCGGCTCTCAGCACTCCCTAGAACTTGTTCCACTTCCATCAACTGGCTATGAATCCCACTGCTTTGTGAATTGTGTGAAGTGTTCAAGCCAGTGCCACTCATTGCCCCTAAATGAACCCCACTAACATTAATGTCACCATTACCACCACCAAAAGAACTCCACCCAGCCTCCACCGAGGTTAGGTCTCTCACCTTGCGTTCTGCCAGGCCCAGCTTGCTAGTCAGGTCTTGGATGCGCCTACCCATCAGCTCGAGCTGTTCCTGCTGGCTCTTCTGCTGCTGCTTAGCTTCCTCAACATTCTGCATATGCTTCAGCTCCAAAGCATCATAGTTATCCTGGGAAGACTTAAGCTCGTGTCTCAACCGCTTAAGCTCCCTGTCGCCCCTCTCAACCTTCTGTCCCAGTTGTTCCATCTGTTGCGTCACCTCAAGCATCTTCTCACCCGATTCCCGGTCACTCTTGGCTAGCGCCTCCTCCTTCTGAGTCAGCTTGGACTGTAGATTTACAAATCTCCTCTCCAGTTCTGAACACATTTCATGCTTTTCAGCTAGGAGCTGCTCCTTCTTAAACATATCTTCTGTGTACATGCTTTGAACCTTCTCAACCTGAGCCTGCAATAGCTGAACTTCCTTCCTGGCAGCCTCCTTCTTGGCTTCTTCTTCTGATTCAGTACTGCTAGCATTCTTCGAGGCTTCTCTAAGCAATTCTAGCTCAGACTTGACAGTGGCCAGTTCTGTTGTTAGTTGTTTAGCTGACTCTTCCAAGTCAACTTTACTGTGTAGCACACAATCAAAGTCTCCTTCCAGTGTTGATTTTGCTTCCTCAGATTCTTTCAGCTGCTGTTTAAGTACATCCACACTTGCTTGGTCCCTGCCAGTCTGTTCCATCAAGGATATCCTATCTGCATCCATTCTCTTCATCTCAATCTGCAGTCTCTCAACATCTTTGTTCTTCCCTTGCAGCAGTTCCATCAAGTTCTTAGTGTCCTCATGGATTTGAGATGTGTGGTGCTTTTCTTCGGTGGCAACCCTGAGCTGCTCTGCCATTCCCTGCATATGTTCTTCCAGCCCCCGTCTCGCAGATGCCTCCCCGCTCAACTTATCCTCCGACTGCAGTCTTAACGTGGCCTCTTTGGTCAGCTGTATCTTCAGGCTTTCCAGTTTTGCCGTTGCCTCTTTAAGTCTGTTTTCTAAGTCCACATCACCTGCAGACTGCGCTGGGGCTTTATCACCCTGCCCTTCAAGATAAAACTCTGCAGACTCGGTGAGAAGGCCGTCATACTTCTTCTGCAGCACAGATTTTTCTGAAAATTCAGCCTCCAGCTGTTCACTGAGTTGTTCAATCTGCTCATCTCGCTCAGACAGTTCCATCCTCATGTCTGCAAGCTCGGTTTCAAGCTCACTCTCTGAATCTAATCTTAGAGGGGTTTCTTGAGACCTGGCTTGCAGCTCTCGCTCGGTGTCCTGTAGTCTGGTCTGGAGCTGTATGTTCACACCCTGCAGTTCTTGTTGGTGCCTCTCCAGCTTGAGTATATATTCTTTATTCCCTGTAGCATCTTCTCCTCCTTTGGCTTCTAACCTCTGCTTGTAGCCTTCCCTCTGGGCTAAAAGCTTCTTGATAATTTCCTGAGATTCTTCCTGATTCTTTTCCAGCTGCCTCATGGTTTTGCCCTGTGCGGACATTTCACCTTCCCACTTCTTAGCCCTCTCCCTGTACTCCTTCTTCTCCCCTTCTACGATCTCAATCTGCTGATTCAGTCTCTCGATCATCGTCACAGCTTTGTCCCTCTCCGTCTTCAACGAGGACCGGGCCTTGCTCAGTTCCTTCTCGCTCTCCTGGTAGTCCGAGACGAGCTTCTCGAAGCGGGACTGGATGGTCTCGCACTCCTTGGATCTCTTATCCAGTACTCCTGCCGCCGTCTCGAGCTTGTCGTGTAGCTCTTCCTTCTCATGTTTGACGAGTTCGCTGGCGTTGCGTGCCTGCTTGACTTCCATGTGAAGGGTCTGGTTCTGCAGTTCCACCTGACTTAGTTTCTTCACCACTGTCTCAAGCTGCAAGATAAAAACAAAAACAAGAACATATAATTACTTACATGCAACTATGGTATCATAGTATATCAGTTCAGTATCAGTCACTTCATCATTGGGGTAAAAATGAGCCAAAGACATGTCAAAACATCAAATATCAACAACTCGAAATGTGACCTAATGGCAGCTGGGGCAGTAACCACAACAAAATACAATAAATACAAAGCGTAGTATAAATCTTCTCATTACGCATTGCTAGACAATAATCCTTGTACATATCAGTACACACTCGGAGTGTTTTCCTGAGACTTACACAAAATCCAGTGGTGTTCCAGGCCATCAGCTTGACACTAATTATTTTCACTACCAAATAACCCAAACAACAATTTGCGCTACATTCAACTAGCCGTGTCAATGCTACTTCAAAATGTACAGCCTGACTTCTTCAACTGTCCAAATCCTTCGTAGTCAGTGTTTAAGAACTGTCCCAGTGTCACGAAAACATTGCCAATTTGTGTCCAAACACACGCAGGATACATTGTGTCATGGTATTGCCTCGGGCTATGTGCATGACGAGGCAAGCATGAAGCACATTCTTGTGGGAGGGCATGATGACTGATGCACACTGAGGATTCATGTCTTAGAGTTAGATGATATCTTCTTAATCCACTTCCTCATCTATTAATAGTTTGCTGCTACCCACATTCTTAGCAAAGTTTTCATGTCTCTATCATTGCTTTAACATGTACATACATGTAGTATCTATATAAATTCTATTGGAGGGATATTTTGAGCTCGTAATAAAAATTATGACTGTAACGTATTGTACGATTATGGTTTTAAGGTACCCCCCCCCCCCCCAACAAAAAAGATTAAATAATGGTAAACAATGAGGGCGCTCTACTTCATGAAAATATTCCAATGTGAAACTGACTGTAAAGCGCAGCCTTGTTATGACAAAATAATACATTTCTATCTAGACTTAGCTCAATTCTGCTTCAAATTAACTCTTCAACCTAGTATAATCTCCCTATTAGCACAAAGAATCATTTTCCAACTCCATGAACCCAACTACATTAGTTCTATCCAGCTAACCTAACCTTATTCTAGAAGGCTCTCTTGCACAGGAATTTCTATGTATGCGTAAAGAATGCAAAAGAATAAACATGCAATGAATAAAGAATAAACATTGGGGGGCGGGGGGGACAGGGGCAGATTTGACTAAAATTTTAAATCCTTCAATACAGGGGGCGTTTCACAAAACTTGTCATCAGTGACAAATGGCAGTTTTTGTTATAAGCTACTGAAATCCTTGCTTCTGATTGGTTATCAGGCAGATTTGTCACTGATTTTTGTCATTTGTCATTGAAAAAAAGCTTTGTGAAACAGGGGCCCCTGGTCTCTTGGGATATGAACTAACCTGTGAGACGAGGGCCTTCTGTTCATTCTCATTGTCCAGTGAGGGTTGTCTCTGGTACGTGTCAAAGCTCTTCCGTGGCAGGCTGTTCTCGATCGGTATGCTGTCACCCTGCTGCTGGTGGTCGATCTGAGATTTCAAACTGTCCGCCTGTTGGGAAGAAGAGTCAAAGAAAGAGGGACAAATGTATGGTTAATGAAGTCAAAACCTGCTTTAGCAATCACCTGTATATAAAGACCATCTGTTTATGGACACCACATTCTTGGTTTCCCTTGAGAGTTTCTCACTGGAGCACTTGCATTAAGGAAACCTGGACACAAAGACCACATGCCTCTGAAGAATACTTTCCCTGTTATCCTTGAGCGGTCTTTACACACGGGTTTCAGGGTTAATCATTCGGTGTTGACCCTCTCATTACCTAAGACTTTTCAGACAACTTTAGTCTGTCAATTTTTTTCAAACTTAATCATCAAAGACCACTCAAATGATATCCATGTAGTCTGTACTCTCTTTAAACTGGTCTCTGGCTTTTTAGCAACATAAATGTACATATTTGTTTATAGAGCGGTGGCTGTTGTGCAGTATAGAAGTGAAATATTTCTTCATAACAATGCAGCTCAACTCTCTCATGTAGAATGCCTACTAAATTGAAAAAAATAAAAATAAAATCATGTGTATCTTTTGAGAGAATAAATCAACAAAGAAAATAACAAGACATAACTGTTTTCTAACCCTAGGTGTCAATTTGAAAAGAAAATAAAATCTTAGTCTGATACATTAACTTTAGACTGGTCTAAAAACACATTTATGGCATCTGATGTTGCTCACATTGTGAACAAAATAAATGATGAATTTGATCAGCCACATGATACAAACAAGAATGCCCTTAAGGATTTACATATAATATAATACAAAACATATATTTTTAAAGCTCAGACTTATATTCCACTGTGCTGCAAGAGCTATTGATGTGCTTAATGTACAACATAAAGTTAAATGAAAAGATGTGCTTCCGGTTTTGATTTAAAAGTACTTGACAATGCTGATTTCCTAATTTCTGATGGTAAGTTATTCCACATTTTGGGGGGGCCTGTGCATGCAAATCCTCTATCTCCCAATGTTATTTTTGATATTTGACTAGCCGGTGTATCACAGACATTTTGACCCAGTGACCCATTTTGACCCTAGGAAGACATGTATTTTAAATGTCCCCTCAAGGGTCTTACTCACTCAGTGCACTCCATCGATTAAAACTATTTAACACATTACAATATGACCTACATGTGATAAACATTGCTAAACCAAGATTCAAGGAAAGGTTTAGAGTCTGTACACTAAATGTCATGTCTTCACTGTTTTCACTATGATCACTATCAAATTTGTTCGTACAGGAATAGCATATTAAATGTATCATGAATTAACACAAAGAAATGTATTTTTGGGCACAACCTATCTACCTAGCAAGCTGCTACTTCAGGTCTTTTAAAATCATAAACTGAAAGATTAATGGGAAGATTATTTACACATATGCCAAGAAAAGCATAATTTCAAGCATAATCCTAGACAGTATGACGTTGATATTTCCCCCAAGTGTGTACATGTTTAACAACTCAAATATCAAATTGAAAATTCATTTGTAATTTGACTTTACCTGGATGAATGAGGGAGGCATTCTACTGTAGGTATAAATCAATACTTTCAAAGAGTACTTCAGAAACACCATAAGAAGTTTTAAAAGCACAATACCAATGGCATAGCCTAGTTTTGCCAATTCACAGATCAGAATGACCAAGACGCCATGCAAGAGAATGGAAGCCTGAAGTAAATCCATGTTGATATCTTGTGCATTGTAATGCCGGGAACTTATTCTACTAAAGTGAAACCAAGCGGACATTCCGGAAATGTGATACCATGTACTACCAGCAACATAGAGCAAGTTCTACGAGGATAGACTTATCGAGCGTGACAAGTACGGGTAAGAATGAATAAGAGGTATGTTTGTTTGATTGTGAATAAACAAAGACGTGCTGACCTTTGAATGTTTTTGTTTGTCTGGAAAGAGTTGAGAGGATTGCTTGAAAAGGGAAAGGTGAAGTTTATTTGCACTGCTTAGTAGAAAATTACTGAAGCGGGAAGAATATTCAATGTGCGGGCTTGGTGCAGACAAGGAAAGATATGAGGAAAGTCAAAAAAGGGGAAATGGGGAGACAAACTTGTATGGACATGTACTTGAATTGTACAAGAACAAAAAGGGTTTGAGAAAGGGAGAATCACTAAAAATTTAAAGAGATGGCTAAAAAACTATATAAAATAAAAATTTATAAATCTTCAAAACTTTTTTTTTTTATCAGATTAAATATTACATGTACATGTAGGCTATTAACTTTCACTTTCCACCAACCCAACAACTTGCACTTTGTTTAAAAAAAATTCAGGTAACACTATCTAATGCCAAAAATCTTATTAGCTTTGCACAAAAAAAGGTAGAAGAAACAAAAATGTAAAAAATGATTCAAAGGCATGCGTTGACTCTTGTCATATTTCAAATAAATTTATCAAATGCAGAATACATGAAATTACATGTTTGAAGTGGAACTCTGCCAATTCGGAATGCGATTGTGAATCACAAGTTTCTGGTCATTTCAATGGCTCGTTTTGAAACTGATAGAAATCATATGCTTCGCTATATACATGTACAAGTAATACTAGAGATAAAGATGTTAAACTCTATGCGTAACATTAATCATAGCTAACATTCATGACTTTGAAGTGGCGACGTCTTGCCTCGCGAATGACTGTAATATCGCTCTATTGTCCTTCAGACTACAAGATACACTTCCTCAAAAGGAAACGGTTCCCCTCTTCTCAGCGGAAGGCAGCCTCCTAGTTCCTCACCCTCTTTTCTTGGCAGATGTTTGGCGTTCTTGAGTGACAACTCAAAAGCTCTCTTCCTTCCACACTCTTAGATGTTCCACTTTGTTTTTTTATGGAAAACTGAGAAGTGCTTCACAAAGACTAAGATCGACTTTAAGTTGAACTTAACTATAGCAGGCTATTCATACCACTAACTGCTCTATCCATTGTCTCTCAATTATGATCTTTAGATAACATTTTTTCCTTCAATAATGAACTATCAAAAAATGTAAATTCTGTAGATTTGTGACCATGATTTGTACGTCACTTGAGAAACCAACGCCAGGAATGGTTAGAGTAACTAGTGGCACGAACGGTCTGCCATATTAAGTCCAACTTAAAGTCGATCTTAGTCTTTATGAAACACTCCTTAGACTCTTTTACCAACTATACAAACCCTGCTGTGTGCATTGTTGACCAAAGCTAACATAGGAACTCTAATGTGACATGAAAATAACCCATTGGATACTGAATGATCCTATTCTTAAATATGCTTTAATTACAGGAGCTACCCGATTCATGTGGGAAACCCAGGATAAAAACCAAAGAGAAAATTTCCTTTACTGCAAAAGTACAGCATATGTTCTTGCTTACTAAAGGATGTTGTTTGGTTCTCCAAACAATCCACATCTTTTTCCTCTTCTCAAGCAGGATGCAGTGATTCAATGTGTGACGCATGTTCTTTAGTCCTACAAGTCTTTAGTCCTACATCTATTTTCAAATCCATGTTGTCGTTACTCACCTCAATTTTCTGAATTTGGATGGGAGACTCTGCCCTGAAGGTCCGTTCACTTCTGGTTGATGTTGATGATGTCCTCCTCACAGGCGGCTCCTCTATCCTGAGTTCAGTGGGCGTCGGGGTACTCGGAGGCGTCTCAAACACTTCACTCGACGTCGACGATGACCGACCATTCATGGAAGACTTGGATGAACTCTTTTGCAGTTTAAAGTCGTCCCCTCTCGACGATCTCCGCGAGCGTCTCTCTTTAGATCGCATCGATCCCGGTCGTTCTTGGAAGGCTGGCTCTCTTTCAGTGGGGCTGGAGGTTTCACTGATTCGACTGTCCAAACTGCTCTTCCGATGCCTGGACGTTAGGTCTATCGTGAGGTTGGACCTTGGGGCATCGATAAAGTCCTGTTTAGGGAGAGGAGTGGGGATGACGTCTGGAGTAGACGTTGGTTGAGGAATGGGCGGAGGCTTCTCCAGCAAGATCAGCGTTGACTTTTCTTGCGGCGCGACGGGAGCAGCGTCGACTTGAACAAGGTTGACGGGTTCCTTCTCCAGGACGGGTTCCTTCTCCGGGACAACAGGACTTGCTTCTTTCTGGGCGGTCGTGATAGCTTTGTTTATTGCTTGAATCCAGTTGGTGCGGATCTTGCTGGTCATTGCCCCCAGTTGATGGACAGAATCGTCTTCCATCTACAGAGAGGCAAACGGAAGAAAGAAAGAGAGACCATGGTGCGATTAATCACGTATCCAGTACGACTGCTCCAGTAGCAAGCCTTGCAAAATGATCAGCTTTTGGCATGAGATATGAAAACTTTCAGATAAACTCCCTGCATGTCGCCTAGCTCTGCTATACACAAACACAGGCATTGACAAACATACATACAAAATTAATAGATACACATTACTAGCAAACCTAACTGTAATCTGAGCTCACTGACAACGATCAGCTCATCTCTGTGGTTCATTTATTCAAAAAAATGATCAGCTCAGATCATTATTGGATTTAGCTTAATGCCCTAGATTTCCTCTAAGCCTCTTGTTACAATGCCGCACGCTGTCAGCCACTGCTATTTGGTTTCCCACGGGATTAACAAGTTACTGATCATTCTGCGTTTCGGTTAAAAGTTTTGATAACATCGTCATATCCAAATGAAAAAGATACTGTTTGAGGCAGGAAGGAGTGCGAAATTCAATGGACTTGCATGAATGATGTGGATCCGAAGAAACGTGATAGGCCACATATATAGGGGTAAAGAGCAAGTGCAGAGAAGACAGCTGCACCCCTTCCCTCGTTAAACCTTCCCCCTATCTTTTCCCCCAAATCAAACAGTTGTAACCCTCCTATGTTCGCACTTTCCTCTATCTTTTTCCCCACAAGTTGCACCCTCCCTTTGACTTCCCCCATCCCTTTTCCCCCAAAACCAATAGTTGCATCTACCCTCATACCTCTGGCCCTATCCCATTCCCCTATCTGAGCAGTTGCACTTATTACATCTTCCCCCTATTCTTTTCCCTGACCAAACAGTTGCACCCCTCCCTCATTAGGTCTTCCCTTATCCCTTATCCCTTACCCTCAACCATAAAGTTGCACCCATACCTCATTAGATCTTCCCCCTATCCCTTACCCCTAACCAAACAGTTACAGTTTTCTTTCATTGAGACCTTCCCGTTATCCTCTCCCCCAAAATCATTCATCCCTGAGGATAACATGAAGCATAGTATCAGAAGGTTCTTAAGCTAATACCTTCCATCTGTCTTTTAACCCATGACCTGCTATTGGTTCAACATGTTGGAGGAAAACCATACTCAATGTGAAACAACAATGCGAAGCATCAAGCATCATTACACAGACTAGAAGGAAATTAATAGGGGAAAGACATAAAACAAGTAGGTCGCAATCCTAGACAAGAGAATTTTACCTCAACCAGGTATTGGAGTTCAACATGAAGCATTGGAAGGGTTTCTTTGATAGAGAGTGTGGTTTATATTGAAAGATTGTTGCATCTTACTTCTTTGAGAAACATTAAAGAAAACATAAAATATTCTTCCAGTATCCAATTGAAGGAAAGAGATCTCTCAGGTTTTATTATTCATATACCCAACACCAGTTTTTGTTTTTGTTTCAGATCAATTTTGTTTTAACCATAAAATTGTGACAAAGGGATTTGGGGTATCAAATACTCAATGCTTTGAAGGTGTAAAAGGGGAAATGTAATTCAGGGTAACCTTTCCCTGGAGAAGACCAATTCATTCATTCTTAATGAGAACTTGAATTTTCAATACCTTTGCAATATCATAGAGAGAGAGAGAGAAGGGGAATCAAAAAGCAATGTGCCCTGATACGGAGTACTAAAAGAGATGGATAACTTTATCACAGTCACCCTAAAGATCCTATCAATGCCTTGCTGACATAGATACAACAAGGCTTGGCAACTTGGGCATTGTTTCACAAAACCTTTTGTATCTTCAAGTTCACCTACATCCCATTGAAACGTGTGTTAAATATAATAAACTTATTTTAATAGGTTGTCAGTGAACTTGTACTTCCTGAAATGCTGCCCTGGCAAAATGCTGCCCTGGCAACAAATAACCTGGAAGCTATTAACAAGTCTGCTCCAGGATCAAAGTTCCTTAGACGAGCGCTGATAACCGATTTTCTTTCTTTTCTTTTTTTCAAATTTCTAGGAGCATTTCTTGACCCAGAAGCTACTACGATATCTGTTTGGTGGCATCCCACGACCTGGAAGCTGTTAACAATTTCTGGTGCAGGATGTATTGTATATAAGTACTGGTTTATGATATCTGTTATACCATTTAAATCCTTTAAAAAGTAATCCCCTTTCCAACTTTACGCTATCTGTTTGTACCATTTAAATTCTTCAAAAAAAAGTAATTATTTTCCCAACATTACAGAAGTATCTGTATTCATGATAAGAAAACTTTATAGAAGACTTTGGGTATATGAATGGATATACAGGAGGAAAGTCTTGGTGTTTAACACTGCTCAAGTAATTAATTTAATTTCTGAAGGAAATGCCTAATGCTTTGACTTCTTGACAGTTTTTAGTAGCCAAGAGTTTAAACCAAACAACTACTACACCTCTTCATTAGTAAACATTACCCTTCATCCTTTCTGCTCTAAGAAAAAAAGAAAGAGTGTGTTCAAGAGAACATTATTTTTGTTTTCTTCTTTGCAATGGATGAAGGTCTTTTGAGGTTTGCTTGACCCCTACCTTGACCTGGAAGCCATAGTTTCTGCTAGCGGACGTTTCAGTTGCTTCCTTGCACTGTGCCAAGTCCACAGCTCCGGCCAGATTGCTTGGCTATAGAGGAAAGATAATATAATTGACAAGAAAAGCAAACAGAGATGAAATTACGATGGGTTAAAATCTTAGCGGTGTTCACATGGCATCATCAGTTTTAAAGTGAGAGTTTAATAACGCGATAATAACAATGACACAGGTTCACATGGCACCAAAACTACTGCTCGATGTTTTAAAGTATGATCTCGGCAAGCAGTCCTTGTAACTACAAGCTGGTGAAACCTCGAAATTAATTGTATCCGCATGGCAAATAACTTCAATTGAAGACACCCCACCCCCCCCCCCCTAGTTGTCACATTAACCATAAGATGGCTTGTGGTTTAAAAGTTTGAGTGTGTCCGCAAGATGCATGACTAAAAGATAACCTTAAAGTTTAAAATTATGAGCTAAACTTATAAGTTTACAGACAGCCATGTGAACCTGCCTTTGCTAGCTTAACCTTATTTCAAGATGCCATCAGCATCATTCTATGACACAGATTAAAAGTTTCATGATTTAATGTCTCTACAGAGAGCACACAAATAAAACAGGAACATGGTCTTGACATGTCTTTGGTTGTGTTTTGAACTGCTTTCATTGCATGTACCGCAAAGACATGAAACGTTGATGATGTTTGTTGAGGATATAGAACATTCAGTTGGAAGACATAAAAGAGGAATTACATGTGGGAAATCGTACAAGATTATCACTACAATGTATGCTTTAATTTTATATCTTGACTCAGTATCTTGTAAAGTTTGTATACACTCTTTCACAGCTTGACGCTGAATATATCAACTGAGTTTCGGGCTAGACCTTCATTACACCAATCTGATAAAATGTAATGTACTTGAAAATATGATATTCTCTTTCCATTGATTTGGATGCCTTATTTACATTATCTTAGACAAGCATGTTTTAAAAGTTATTTTATTTTCGAGTATACATACATTTTCATCGCTTGAATCTTTGAAGTGGCTGAGTTTGTTGTCTCGAAGTACGAACCAGTATTTGTTCCAATCCTGAGGCAAGAGAGAAATGGAAAGCAAAACAACAACAAAGGTATAGCGTTAATATTGTATTCATAAAAAAATGTGAATTCACAAACATATAGATATAGAAATGTTTGTGATGATATAAACGAGGAGGACATTCAAATCTATCAGAGTGGAGGAAAATTGATTGCCCCAGTTTTCTTTTACATTTATATACATGTAAATCTTGACCGCACATGTGCTTGTCTTTCTGTTTCTCACCAAATATGTCCTATCTCTTTCGTATGGATCCCATTTTCCTGTTATAAGAAGTGTTTCTGTCAAACTTTAACTTGCCTACTTGCCTTATATTGGGGTAGTATGCATGGTAGAAAACTAGCCACAGTTACAAGGGAAAAAAGAGGAGGAGGGAAGGGGGGGGAGAAAGAGGAGAAGGGGTGGGGGAGGAGGAGGAGGAGGAGGAGGAGGAGGAGGAGGAGGAGGAGGAGGAGGAGGAGGAGGAGGAGGAGGAGGAGGAGGAGGAGGAAGAGGAGGAGAAGGAGGAGAAGGAGGAGAAGGAGGAGAAGGAGGAGAAGGAGAAGGAGGAGAAGAAGAAGAAAAGAAGGGGAAGGAGAAGAAGAAGGAAAAGAAGAAGAAGAAAAGAAGGGGAAGGAGAAGAAGAAGGAGAAAAGAAGGGGAAGGAGGAGGATAAGAAGAAAAAGAAGAAGAAGAAGAAGAAGAAGAAGAAGAAGAAGAAGAAGAAGAAGAAGAAGAAGAAGAAGAAAAGAAGGGGAAGGAGGAGGAAAAGAAGAAAAAGAAGAAGATGATCAAAAGAGATGAAGATAGAGAGAGAGAGAGAGAGAGAGAGAGAGAGAGAGAGAGAGAGAGAGAGAGAGAGAGATGGATGGAGAGTGGGAGAGGTCATAAGAGTGTGGACTGCCTACTACCATTCACCATGTCTTCCGTCTTTGATGTTACAGCTAACCTTGCTATGTTGATATGTTAGGGGCTTTTACAGGGTGATTGAGGGTTGTGCAGGGCCAGTGAGGAGCTGTTATGGAGGGCGTGTTCTGGTGACATGTTTACCATAAACACTGATGGTATGTTTTGGTAAAGGTCCTATCTTGTGAAGTTGTTACTGTGAAGAAGTTGTGTTTCAAATTCCTGAGGTTTTCTTACAACTTTGGGAATGTCAAAGAACTATCAGGGGACTTGTTCTGAAATTTAAAGGGAATATCAAGCACTGTTTAAAACTTAAAACCATAGGAAAAGAGTGGTTTCTGATCTTTGGACAGACCATTTCATTTAACAAACCCATACACAGTGTAGCAACCCTAAAAATGTACCTGATTCCCTCAGTTCTGGTAAAAAAAAAACCTAACACTGCTATATTTTCCTTCTCTGTGTCCCCTTTTTGCAAGTCATTGTCTGCTGTACACTTTTTCAAAATTCATTTTCTATATAAAGCCCATTGCCAAGATACGATCTCTGTTTCTTCTTTTTGAGAGGACATTATCTCTTTGGTGACTGAAAAAAGACAGAAGACCATCTTAACTCCATGGGAGGAACCTAGACAGAGAGAGAGAGGCTAATACAAACATCCTCTAAAGATCTTGAACAACAAACAACAGGACACAAGGTGTATCCCCAGATGTCCTCTTTACAAACATTCACCTGAAAATTTCACTTTCTAACTTTTTAAGATTTGTCATTGTTTCATTGATAACTACGTAAGACTCGGAGGTCTGTTTATCGAAATATATTAAAGGAAATTTGGCTTACAAGGAGGGCCTAGAATAATTGAATACAAATTATAGTCAAATTCTAATATCATGTATTAAATGGGCTATTATTTTAATGTCACCGCCTATAAACCAATCAACACACTCACATGTATTTCATATCCTTAATGATGATAGCCCCTACCACATTTGGACTACAATGAAATGCTTCAAAAACTTAGAGGTATCAACTGGCTAATCTTGTGCTTAATCTTATATTAAGAATGTGCTAATGACCCCTTTTTTGTACAATAACCACCCCCTCTGTTAACCCTCAACAGCATAGGGCATTCTTCATATGCAAACTTTTCCATGATATTTCAATATTTGTAGGACATAAGTAATACCGTTTAATCTATGGAATACTATTTATCTTTTCTCATACCCCCTCCCCTCCCACACCCCCAAAAATAATAACACAGCAACTACATGTATATATATAGGAATATAATCAGATGAGGTCATCTTTTGGGGACAAAATCTGGATAACTTGAGCTTGTTTGAGCACTGGTCTAGCATGTAAATGTCAGACTCCACCTGTCTGGGGTATCAGCTTAGTGAAAACCATCCTCCTCATCCCTTTAATAGCCAAGTGAGCGATTACGAAGTTGATTTGTTTTGGCTAGCTGGGCAACTACACCTGTGCAAAATCAACAGGCATTGCAAACCAGCCATGACCTGTCTATCCATTCAGAAAAGCACGGATACATTTGTAGGTCTTCTGTTCTTTTCAGGGAAAAATAATTAAATAATTAAATATACCCATGATAAAAATAAGTTTGATGTACTATTGTTTTGGTATAAAACAGCAAGCTAAATCGAGCAACAAGAACAAAAACGTGTTGTGATTGACCGGGATAGGAAATAAACTATTTGGTTAAAATGTGGTGACTCAATTGTCTAATATTTTTGTTGATTAATTCAATTATTAATATTACAATAACCTAATATCATTATGTTCTCTATGTAATTAGAAGCTAATACCTCCTTGAAACTGATCCAACTGTCCATTCTCTTACCCAATCTTTCAGTTAATTCCAAATAAAACAATCATGACGAACTCCTAACCTTGATGGTAATCTAGGCATTGCATGCAAGGCATACTTGGCCTCGGTCCTAAAATACTATTATTAGATTATCTAGCTCATAATCACTGATGTTTAAGACAAAAGGAAAATAATTAATTATATAGGCCTCACTTGAAAGTTTTATAGTTTAGTTAGGAGGGGGGGGGGGGCAGGAAGGAAATATGCCATGAGTATCTTCTTGATAATATGTTGGAAAGTGAATAATGTAAATCCACACATTTTTACTAAATTGACTGACATTTTACAGAAAATAAACATGTGTTGTTCTCTTATTTGTATGATTATGTGTTTATTATTTTGTTTGTTATTTTTGGCTACAAAGAAGTTTCATAAAAATTGGAAAATTCTGAGTTGCGGTTCATTTATTTTGCAGAAAGAAATTTAAGGTAATCTAGATTAGAATGTAAGAGGGGGCGGGCAATCCAAAATAGATCAATTAACTTATAGACATATTTGTCGAGTACCTTGAAAATCTTAAGTCAACCGCATGATTAATTATCTCACCGGGTTTCTGGATACCAAATGCCCTGTAATAACTACTCAATTGTACAAGCCACTTCCTACTCGTAAACCAATACGGCTACGAAAGAACCTTGGAAAACGTTTGGAGATCAAAGAAATCCAGGATTAAAAGATACCTTTCAGATCCCTGCCGTCGATGAGAGTAAATTTACCGACTTCATGCCTTTTTACACACGAGTAATCTACAGACGCTGGATTAGTGCTTAATCCTCATGTCTAAAGGACTGTCACATGGCTACATGACTAGAACAGGTGACTGATGCCCTGTTCACACTGCAGGTTTTTTTTTTTTATTCAAATCCCGTTCAAAGAAACGTTGTATGAAAGAATCATCTTAGAGCAAAATGGGCATACAGAGGCTGGATAAAAACACTGTATATAGAAATATTGTATGAATAAACTAGTTTTGAAGATGTAAGTTGATATGACAGCTGACCAATCATGACTATGCACTCATGATAAGCCCCGCCAAGTTATATTTTCATAACGGTACGACGTTCACATCAGAACAGGACTATGCTTCTCGATCAATTTTTCATTGAATACAATGCTCAAACATGCGTTTCACTATACGTTTCTGTATACGACACTCAGACTACAGAGATGAATATTCATTGTACAGCTATACCATTAATAATGGTAATCTGAATGAGGGGGGGGGGGGGAACGGCAACTGGGTCTAGGATAAACGGGAGGTGTAGGATTACCCAATTTACAGAGATATGGGGACCTCACCAAGTTCTGTAAAGGGAGACACGATTTGTGTGACCCAAAAGTTTTGTCTCCAGGTTGAACATATGCTAACATGAAAATGTATTAAAAGACAAAGCCATTGTTTGAAATGTTCTAAAAATAATAATTCAATGAACATAAGACTTGTAATGACTGTTCAGGAACGCCAAGAAAAAGCAATCGACACAACATGGAAATACTTCAAGAAAAAATTATTTTGTGACATAAATGAAACAGATTGCCTGATAAAAATTGGCTACAATGACCTATAATGTAATCCCACAGCTTTTGAAGGCAGGGCCCATCATTAAAAGGGATTTTGTTTTGGGGCAAACACTGTCCCCCCCCCCCCCCCCTGCATAATTTCTTTTTTTTTTAATGGAGGGAAAAATTCAACAGGAACAATTTGCAATCCTTATCCTAAACCTACATGTATATCTTTTATAATAATAATAATAATGATAATGCAAAAAAAAAATGATGTATGGGATTGTCTCCATTTCATTATCATCCGTGGTGTTGTTATCATTTACCTCTTGTTCTGAATCTCTCTTCATGAGCCATCCATTCTTGAGATGCAACAGACCCTACACAGGAGAAAATAAGAGAGGGGAAGAGAACAATATAAAGAGATAGATTAATTGATTGCTTCAATATAGAATGATCATACAAAGGATGAAATATGACAGACAGAAAATCAATTAATTAATTCAAATTTGTCTGCTCAGATCAATAACCATATGAACAATGATAATCAATAATGTTCTTAACCAAACAATAATATTTGAAAATGAAATTATAGCAAGCAGAGAAGTGGAATCCATTACAGGTAGTGTGTGTGGAGGAAAGAAATAGAAAACAAAAAAGAAAGGGGGGGGTGAAATAAAGGAGGGGATTAAGGGAAAAGGTAGAGGGGAGGGAGGGGGGGACAGAGGGGGAGACAGAGGGGGAAGAGAGGGGATACAAAAGAGAGATATGAAGAAACAGAGAAATAGAGAAAGAAGACAGGAAGAGATTTAATATAAACAAAAAAACACAGACAGAGAGAGAGAGAGAAAGAGCAAAAGAAAAGGAGAGGAAGAGACAGAGTAGGAAACACAGAGGTGACATGCTAAATCAGGAAGAAAATGGAACTAGGGAGAAAGTGGCGGAGTAGCAAATGAGAACAGAGAGAAGAAAGAGAGAGAGAGAATTGAGATGCCATTATAAATCAGAGGGAATATTCATCTCAATTACTGCTGACTAGCTTTTGATGACAAGAACACATGTTGACTCAAGAGAGGCCTAGGAGCCCGGAATACATCATCGTCAAGCGAGAGATACTTTGTGCATCATCTCGTAATGACTATAGATAGAGAGAGAGCATGGAAGCTTGTGTGGATAAAAATCCCAATATTACAGTATGGTGTATAACTATGGCATATGTCAATTCATCTGTTTTTAACAGGGGATGGTCAAGTTTACAAACGTACACAAATTTGAAGCTTCATTGTTTGTTAGAATGCATATACTGTCCACTGATATCAGATAGTCACGATCAACCCTTCTAAACTCACAACTCATCTTTAATTCTACTTCACTTATAAATAATTGATACTTGATATCATTCATGGGTGTTCAGAATCTTTAATAGTTCTCATCCCAACAAGATACTTTGATTACCCATTTCAATGTATATATATTTGCATTTTTCTGTTGCATCAGCTGAGATAAAAAAAATTCCCATCAATTCTGAATATATCACAATGTTAATAACTTAGGGGAATATATCATTCATACAGAAAAATCTTGTTGAATCTTCAAAATTACTAAAAATAACTTTAATTGCTTAAAACATATGAAATCAGTATTCTTCCTTTCATAATATTGCGCTGGCATGTCCATCTTCTAACCAGGAATGAAGTTTTTCCATGTAACACGGTAGAATCCTCCCAATTACCCTGCAATATTGCCAGCCGGAGATTACGGTATCCTTAAGGACAGGAAGATATTGGAATGACGTCTGGATTTTCAATCACAAACATATCAATCCCAAAATGATTTGACCGGCAGACAGGTCTATCCATTATACGCACACTGTCTGCCCTCGTCTGCGGAAATCGTTAAGGGTATTACGGATGCTCCTTTTGTCGATTGCTTCCCCTCCTTCCCCCTCGTCAATTTCAAGGAAGGCAGAGTGCATCGTGGGTAACGCCTCTCAGCAAGGGAGCCGAGGGGGCGTGTTGTGTTTATGGATCAAGTTCATGCGAGAAACTGGTGCACGTTGTGTGGGAATTGCAAAACAGTAATAATAATAATCAAAACGGTGCTTATAAAGCGCTTACCACCAAAGTCTCTAAGATTCTGTTCTTCATTTTGCTTTCACTACTTCGAAGAAAAAAAGATTTTCATCTGCTTTCAAGATGATAAAGACGGGCAGATTTTGATTCTTATTTGATTCTGAGTCATTCTCTGAGTCATGTATAGTTTTCGGTCATTGAGAAAGACAGTGACAAGGCAAAAATTAACCCTAATAGAAACGGTATGAAGAGGATCAAGCTAAAGTAATACTTGTGGATGTATCACTAGTGCTTCGCATGTTCTCAATGGCAAAACACTGGCCCACATAATTTGTCCACTTGGGATTCCACCCCACAACTGTCATCACATTGACCTATCCATTTTCAAAAGTATTTCAAAACTACATCTATACTATCCCCTTATCAAATGTGCAGTTAGGTGCCCAGTTGGATCCATGGTAGTTTGACAAAATAAAGAACAGTTTAGAAAAAAAACTTGAGATGGATTCAAATAACAGTTATTTTTCTTTCAATATGCTCTTTCTACTACTCAGATACAGAAGGTTGGGAAAGATTGAACATAGCTCAACAAAAAGTGAGAGGGGCTAGAAATACTTACACCAGAATTTGAAAGCACATACACGTTTGGCCTTTCATCACTTGCAAAGGGCAAATCTCAGATAGAGGGTCCAATGTTAGACCACCTCCAAAGGTTCTTCTTGGGAAGAAGTCTTCAAACTTACTTGAAAGGCTATGGTCACGCTTACCTTCTTCTTCGCAACTACTACATTCAGAAGGTGAAGCTCATCCAGGCATCCATAGCACGAGTCGTCATGGCGACCCTTCGACAGATACCCATCACACATCTTCTATGACTTATGTAAATCCCTCGTACGTAGAAGTATCCTACTTTAATGGAGGCATATATTCCAGTGGGCCACCTACCAACTTGGAAACGTGTCCTATGTATGTAGTGTAGTTATCCTCTTGGGCTCTTTCAGAAGAAATGAACCTCGAAACCATGTGCTCAGTTCTCTCTCTTTCTCGCTCTCTCTGTCTGTCTCTCTGTCTCTGTATCTCTCTCTTCTTCTCTCTTCCTCTCCTCCTCTCTCTCTCTCTCTCTCTCTCTCTCTCTCTCTCTCTCTCTCTCTCTCCCTCTTTCTTTCTCTCTCTCTCTCACTTAAAAACAACAGCAAGTTCAATGTTACAGCATCTGGCAATGTCATAACTTCCACTGCTGGGGAGATGAAAATGTGTTTGTGCAGCACTTTCAATCCCCTTGAACTGTATAAACATTTAAAAACTACAGGCTTATGGAGACTGGGTGGTTCCTAACCTGAGTCAAAGAAATTAGTACTCAACGTGTTTGGATTGAGGAGAGTAGATGGAGTGTTGAATGAAAAATAAAGAAAACAATAAGAGAGATACCTACCGGAAAGGTTTCCGCAATCTCCTTGCGCTTCAAGTCTTCATTGTCCGCGAGATTGGGATCCGAGCTGCTCCGTTTTAACCTGGGCATACCCTGCACAGATAACAAGGTAAACACACAAAAATGTTTGGTTATTTATTACTATAATGTCTGCAGAGTGAAAGGATGAAAGAAGAAGGGGGTAAGAGGGGGGCGGGGGGAGAGAGAGAGAGAGAGAGAGAGAGATTATGTTTCATTTTGAAAATGCAGAAATAAAAACAAACAAACAAGATACAAACAAAAAAGAGAGAGAGAGAGAGAGAGAGAGAGAAAGAGGGTGAGTAAGAGAGTCAGGGAGAGATAGAGGGATGGGGAAAGAGGAGGGGTGGAGAACAGAAGAGAGAAGGGTAGGATAGGAGCGACGGATGGTTCACCCAAATGTGACACAAAGATTTAGGATTAATGCTCTGTCTCATAATCACTGATCTGCTATATGACAGCTGCAAAAAAGTCTAACAATTGTCATTTACCCGACAGTCGAACAGATGTTTTTCTGAATTCCATCAATTCAAAAAACTGATAATTATCACGATAAACTTTAAGATAGGACTTCTATAAGATGGAATATTTGGATTGCATTTGTCAATAAATATATACTTCATATGTACATTCTCTTTCCCTGAATGCCAAATGAATTAAAAGCCAACATACATACAAGACAAGGGAATTCATCTGTGATCTCCCATGTCATTTTCTTCTTCATCCCGGAAGAAAAATATACTGTATAACTTAAACCTAGGGGAGGTACCTTGAATGAAGAGTGCTAGAAATTTAGGACAACACACAAGGAAAATTTAAGAGTATTTTGATACCATTTCCACCTCTATCATATCCTACCTCTGGTGTACTTTTCCTCTCTGAAATCGGGAACGGCACAGAGCTGCCGTCCAGCGTGTGCCTATTCCGTCTCTCCTGTTGATGACGTCTCCTCTCTATCGTTCTCTTGCTGGGCGACTGCGTCTCTCCCCCTTCGATCAACGCCTTATTCATTTTCAAGCGCGCCCTCTTGGGAACGTCCAAGCGCTGTAGCTCTTCCTGCGACAGCAGGTTCTGAGAGTTCGTGTCTGCTTTGGACGGCGGCTGCGATTTCTTCGTTTGCGACGAGTCGGTGGTCGATTGAGAGTCTGATGGTGAAACGCTCCGGTCACTGATACTGGACTTGCGGGAGGAGGATGCCGTTGTTGTCTGTTGCGTAGGAGACAACCTGGGTGAAACGTCCTTATTGTAAACGTTGTTATTGTTCCTGTGTAATAAAGGTTCTGAGCTATTGGCCTGAGCGGGAAGGGAATCCCGGTGTGATGGGAGAACAGAGTCGGCCTGGCCTTTGAGTTCGGCTTCCAACTCTGAAAGGGCAGATTCCGAGTGTCTACTGCGCATACCTGAATTCTTAGAGCTGGACCCGTCCGACGATACCGGTCTCCTTGATGATGACGACGCATCGCCTTTCCCAGAGACCTCCTGCTCATCGCTCCCAAGCGCATCCCTGACCTCTGACCTACCCGTTGTCGTGTGACGCCGATTCAACCTCTCCTCCCTGTCCTTCTTGGCTGATGAGTAAGATGTTTCTGTAGAGGTGGTCGACGGCGTCTGCGCTGAGGGTGTCCTTCTGACCGTCTGTTTCTTGTCGTACTTCTCTGGACGATGCTCGAGGGCGCTGTGCGATCTTCGGAGGTTTAACTTCTCTTTCCTGGCAGCTCTGCTGGAGGCAGTGGAGATGTCGGTCGTGTCTCTGGCAGTGGTCAAGGGGATGTCCGTTCCGAGCTCATCCTCTCGCTCTAAGCTCTCGATCTCAGATAAGGGGTCTTCACTGGACGGTGGGACGTCGGGTTTGGCCTCCGCTTGCTCATCCTCTATCCTCTGGGGCTTCTCTGAATCCTGGAAAATGGTAATAACAAGCAACAACAAACGTTAATGTTTAGATCCATGAATTATTTCTACAGATTTATTCATTTTACTTCCTTAATAAAGACAACTGCAGTGAATACAAAGATTTACACTTTTAGTTCAAGATACTGTTTTATATCTTTGAAATTGAATTGATTTTTCCAGAGCTTTGCACCCTCTTAAAAAAGAAAACCACTGCTCCAATAAGAGACAGATAATATCTCCTGCTCAAAACATGTCACTCTTGTAAGCTCAGTAATTCCTTTGACATCAATCTTTAAGTGAATTTATCTATAACCTTTTAAAGGGCATCTAAAATTGGAATTTTATTTCAAAGAATCTTTTTTTTTTTCTTTTGAAGTAAGAATCATGCTTACACATTCAAACTTATGGGGGGAAACTTGTGTTACAAATAAATAATACACATAATTGTATTTTAAAGGTTTTATTCTGAATTGCTGGGTGCCCTGCATTGACATTGTGTCATCTTAACTGTTCCAAAGTATCTTCAAAATGGCTTACTAATATAGGCTGTATTTCCATCCTGTCACATAGCCAAGGAAGATTGCACATTGTAAATTGCAAATCACAAATCTTAAATATACATGCATAAAAAACAATATGAATTTACAACCCTTCGCATACCAAAGGACCATATATTACATGACCCAGAAAATAAAAATAATGGTAGGAGTTGGGGGAGGACGGGTCTGATTTATGTGTTTACTGTCTCTTTTAAAGCAACAACCCTGACAGAAGCTCGTAAAAATGTCCCAGGTACATAGAGGTAGGGTCATATAGACAAACCTGTATCTCTCAACACCTAAAATATATTGCTCTCTGCCAGTGTCTATTTATTTTTCCGCTCCGCGTAGGATGATATAAATACTCGGGAAGAGGAACCAAATGTGCAAAATGAACCGTGGGATCGTGATCGAATCGAGAAACAATGGCCAATATTTCAGGAGCCTTGGAAAATGTGGCAATGGGATAGCTATAGAGTAAAAGTGGGTGGAAGGTTCCTTCAGATTAGGGTCTTAGAGTTCAAGTCTGTTTTTAAGGCTAATTTCCATCATTTTGCAGACATAGCTATCAATTTTACAATTGTAAATATTAGTAATATACAACTTCACATTCTAACCATGGTAGACGTCATGATAAATTGTGAGAAAATGTTAAAGGAAGTATCTACTCAAAAGGGGGGAAAGAACTCCCCCTCAATCAAATTTTAGAAGAATGAGGAGGCGAAAGCAGGAACAGGGAGAAGAAGTTTGAAATAATGATGAGATCAGCAGATAAATTGCTCTTGATAACATAATAATAACCAACTGATATCTAGTTTTTGTTTATAAACAGCCATAGCTTGTATAGTGGATCATTGTTGATATTGAAAGCAACAAAGAGTGAACTCTGACCATTTGGCATGCACATGTACATGTAGAAGCTCACAGTCACAGGAAAAGAAGGTCTTCCTGTCTGATCTCCTACCCCTGCTACACGTATATAATCAGTATTGTACCTCACCATCAACTAGGGAAAGTCCCCTGATCAATATATTGCAAGGGCTTGTTTTTGTGCAATCACTATTTCACAATCGGAACTGGTTCTAAGAGTTCCATGTACACGTAGGTAAGCCCGTTGCAAGTAGACCTACCACCAAATCAACATACCAATGAGTGATTATTGTCCAAGTTAGCCTTGCCTCACAGAAAAAACAAGACTTCAATTTCATTTTACCTTTCAAAGATCCCAATTTCCCTGATTATGTGTCCACACCGAATGTGCAACAGCATTTTTACAACGGCCAAGTACCAGTTAGGCTACTGTTTTGTATTCTTAAACAATAATAGATCCTCTCTCTGGCAGTAACTGGACTTGGTGTTTATATTTTTAATATTCGCAATGCATGTAAAAAGTTGAGCTTATTTATAAAAAGGGGCTGATAAGAACAACCCCTCCTCATAGGACTACTAAAAGTAGACACTGTGTTCTGTTGACCTTTTTCTAGGAATGGGTGTAGAAGGTTCTGGAATCTGCCTTAAAGCTTCTACTCTCTCCTTGGACTTTTAAGGACTGCATGTGCTCTGTTCACATATTTCCACCTCTCAAAATGGTTTTAATGGGTTCATGGAATCTGCTTAATAATAATATACAACAACCCTCTCAATCTCTCCCAGGAATTTCCAATCCAGGGTTCTGCTGACATATTTCAAACACTGGCAATGGAATAACTTATGCAGTTGGCCTAATATAAACCAACCCTCTCATTCTCTCCTACACTTAGTACTTCTCTGGCCTGGGTTTTGCTACATATTTCCAACACTGCATTGGGTTTAATAGGTTATGAAACTGGTCTAATATAAACCAACCCTCTCACTCTCTGTTTCTCCTACACTTCTGGATTCTGTTTACATATTTCTAGCATTTCACAGGTTATGAATCGGGCCGGGACATATAGGAACAGACCCTGTCTCCTTAAAGACTTCTCCTAAGACTGGTCCTGTCAAATGTGATGCTGTTTGACAGCTTCGCCAGCTGCTCAATTAGGTGTCATTGACTTAGACGAGTTTCCTCCACAGGATCCTTGGCTAGTTAGCTCGTCAATGGATTAGAATTAATGCAACACAAACAAGGTGGCCTGATTCCATCCCTTGATGATAAACAGCAGGTTCAAGAAGGAAGTCAGAATGCTCTACTCTCCTCCTCCTCAACATATTACAAAATGTCTTTAGTATCCACTGTTTACTAATAAACATGTACCTGTAGCGCATCTACAAATATTTCTGTGCAAACTACTGCATGGCTCTTTCTGCCAGCACATAGGGACATATTTGGGATATGTGCTATAAAAGTATGGCATATTATTATTATTTTTTGTTGAATGCCCATAAAATTGCATCATGGTCATTATCCTATACTTGACAAATTCCTACCTTCAACCCTTGACAAAACACTAAACCTAACCTACAACTAAATTTCAACGATAACCCTAACCCTACATCTTTGATGAAATAAAGCCCAAAGCAATTATTGAAGGAATTAGCTCATCTTTCACTGCTCTTTACAATTGTTTTATATATCGATTCTCCGTTTTTAGTCTCTTCAATCAATGCTCTGCTGCAAGATGGTACCTCACCAATTAACAATCAAAGCATGATGACGGGGGAGGACAAAAATGATCCATTCTATATTACAGAAGACCTATCCTGAGTTTGGATTCTCCAAATCTGGTGGAACTTTAATAAATGGTGAAGAACGTTCTATGGCAAAAGCTCAAGTTTGAGCTGCTTGCCCGCTGACCGGAGCCAATATTGCCAGGGGTTGTAGCTACTTTATGTTGTACTTCTGAGCTGAAACAGAATTTTCCCCTTCAGAAGTCCAAGATGTAAGCTCGGATATCATTCTTGTAAGCTTTAGTAAGGCTGACAAGCTAAAATAGGAGTTTAACCACCACAATTCTGCTAGTCTCCGTTCTTGAAAATCATCCCCCATGTCAGCTCCAGAAAAAGCATCTGACAGGTGAACTTGAGAAAGTATTTGCGAAAGTTATCAAGCCCTTAAAACGCCCCTAGAAAAATATGAGCCTTATCCAGAACGGCTAATCACATGACCTGTCCCTGTGTTTCAAAGTCAGGTCAGATATGTCTACAGTAACAATGTCAAAAGGCCTACTTTTTTGAAAAGTTTTTGAAGGTTTATAAATCTCTGCTGCATGAAATTATGAAAATAAGTTGCATAATTCAAGAAAGGGTCTTGTTTTCAGAGAGCCCTTGACATTCTTGACTCAGTATAAAATTCTGAATCTGAAATGTTACTAGTTTTTAACTTGTGTATCATCAATACTAAGATAGAACGATGAACTTCCCATATCAGGAAATGTATTTTTCATATGTGAAAGTGTTCTCACTTACGAAAATCCTAAATATTGTAGATTTCAATGCTTTAAAAATTAATATAATTTCCTAGAGATTTCATACGATATAACCCTTCACTTTAAAAATTTGGTTTTATCATCACATTATTTTCTAATGCCCATAGGCATGTAATCACAAAAATGAATCACGTACTATGTACTTGACATGTGAGCATAAAGCATGATTAATTGCTCCTACGAGTATAAAACTTCTGGGCAGATAGGGTGTCCACAAGTTGCGAAGGGCAAGCTCAAATCTCCGCTATGAAAGGTTATCCTCAGGAATGCCATCAGGGCCATAGTGATAATGTTTCAGGAAAAAAATCCTGGCATCCAACCTTCCGTTAGACCTATATGGAACATTCCGAGCATCCACATTTTGGTCCCATTCACACGAGGGGAAATATATAACTATTAATATTAATTAAAAATATGCTTATTATAAGCATCCCCTCAACTTTGGAACAATTTACCTCAATGTATAAAACAAGCAGATTCAACAGACAAATTCAAATCCATGTTAAAAACCTACTTTTTTGTTAAATAGCCTTTTTCATTTGCATATGCAGCCCCCTCGATTGTCCACTATCTATTATGTATAACTTAATATTTGGCTGTAATTCCTTCTATTTCTATTTTTCTTAAGCGCTTAGAGACATATTTTGTGATAAGCGCTATACAAATGTTGTTAATTATTAATTATTAAAAGAGCATTCACACACTAGGGGAAAGAGCAAATATCCTTGATATAAAAGAGCAAATATCCTTGATATACACTGTAAATGTACATAAAAGTAAAGATTTGTTGAAACTCGCTTTGGAGGGGATTGTACTATTGCTCTGAAAAATTCACCAACCTATATTTTAACTGTGAATCTATTCTCCATCATTTTTTTCAAGAACATACCACTGCCCTTACCTCCATTTCGCTACATAATGTTTTACTAGTTGACATTCACACAGGTAAAATTTAATAACTTTGTCATATCGCCAGCTGAGAGCCAGAAGGGCATCAACTCCTATCATCTTACAAAGAGCTCCATGTAGGCTAAAATTCTTCTGGCTCTCTGCAGAAAAC